TATTTTCTAAGTTAAATTTCATTGGTCTTCTTCAAAATAATTTTCTTGCAATAGGAATTATATTGGTATGTACTAAAAGATAATCATCGTATTAATAAACCCTTTTAAAAGTTTATACTTTCAAAATTTCAAACGTAACGCAATATGAAGTTGTAATTATTTTATTTGTAAGAATATATTATGTAGTATACTTTATATAATACGTAAGAGATAAATATTTGTTTAAACCCGTTTCTCTGTTTTATAACGTCTTTCAAAAAAAAAAAAAAAAAAAAAAAAAAATTAAAAAAGCTCGATTCAAGCCGGTATGACATAATAAATAGACAAATGAAAATTACATAGTAATTTACATAACATTTTTAACATTCATCAATGTCCCATTATGTAACTTATTTTCATAAGGAAACAAAAAATATGGATTGTAAACGACTAAACAATGATAGTAAGGTTTAATCTGACGATTCTATCGCGTAAACGTTTCGTAAGAAAAGACGTATCAACGTTGGCGATTTCATCGATTTTTCGTTTTTGTTTTACATTCGTAGAGAGGATTCGATAATCAATTCTCGACCGGTTTCGTACAGTATTCCGATCATATGCGCGAATAACGAATAAAATGTGTTGCTTGACTTAACTTTTGCATCGAAAAATAATCGAAAGGCTAGTGAATAGGAATGAAGAAATAAATAAAAAAGTAAAGTGAGTCTTAAATGATTATGAGAACGCGTCAATGCATACGAATCAGTCAATTTCTCAGGATGATGCAAAGAATTACGTATTGATAGAAATAGTTGCATATTATTTGGCAACTAGCGCCATCAAAGTGACAGTCTATTCGCTTCTTTCGGTGTTCGCTTGCCCACGTGTTGGATTCTATCGATCGTTGCCAGCTAACGAACGAAGAACGAAATGCGCGCGCCTCTATACTCATAACGTCGTAATGTAAATCATCATCGTGTATAAATTCGAAAATACATTCATAATTTGAATTACTTTTCCAACATTTTTCTGTCAATTATTAAATAATAGATATTATTGAACTAATATTTTTTAATAAAACGAATATAATAATAACTTATAAAATAAATATCTCTATTTCAAAATATTTATTTTTAACAATTAACATCCCTAATAAATATCAACGAATAAATTCTGTAAAGTATAATACGGATATTATTATCAAAGATCATTTTATGATTAAATTTCAATTGAAATAATGATAAATATAAATATTTATCTATATCTACATATAATATATATTTTTTTATAATATGTAGGATAAGTATGAGCATTAGGATTCGTAACGGTAGGTTGGCAAGATTAAGGGTACTTCCCGATTTTTGTCTTTTGATTGGAAAAGTTGACAAATGAAAATGTTTGGGGTGTGAAAATGTAGGAAGGACAAAACAGCGCGGCGGGAAAGTAAAATTCGTGATGCGATGCGTCGTAGGCTGATGCGCCAGCCGATGCGCCGAACGATGCTCGTTGTCGACTCGTTGGATCGAGTAGACGTCATCTGCCCCGACGCGGCACAAACAGCCAGCCGGTTACGTAAAGGTCGGTCACCCGGCCACGTTCTTCTCCGACAACGTTGCCCGCCATCGTTCCATTACCTCGCGCCCTTAACGCGTTTATTGTCGAGCCAATTTTGTCATAAATCGATAGATTTATTTAATATCTTCCATGGTATCTCATTTTTCCATTAATAGAAATGTCAATGAATTCATAATTATCATTTTCATAAATTTTACGCACGTAAATTACATTTCAATTCGTTATAACATATAATTACATTTCTATAAATATTATTAATTTATGACTTATAATTACAATCTTGTACACATGTTATATCAGTTGGGAAATATCCATTATTAATCGCACGCATTAGTTATTAATTTAATAATTAGTTTAATAAGATGTTTCTTCTTTTTTTTTATTTTTTATTTTTTATATTAATTCATTCATTATGACATCCTCATTGCATATAATTGCTTCGATCTGCACAAAGAATTTATTTTTCTTATACAATGATCCAAATTCTTTTATTATATTTTATAAAGAACTAATCATTAAGTGAAAAATTATATCGATTTCGCAATAGTTTATGTTCGTTCACTTATGGCTTATTAAGGGGTTTCCAATCGCAAAGAACGGAACGGACGAAAAGAAATACTTTGTCCAGAAACACGCGATCATAGTTCGTTCCGAACGAACAATCGATCATCCGAAGCAAACCTTGGCATTCGATCATAGATAGAAAACAGAACACATCTATAGTCAACATCGCGACAACTATTGATCTTACTAATGAATGAACCTTTTCCGCGTATTCTTCTCTATGCAACCTTTTCCTTTTTTTATTTCCACAAGATAGATAAGAACAAATAAAAATATGTTTCCTTTTATCGGTAATCTTATCAATCTTTCATTGCCGGATATAATTTAAATGTAATACGATTCGAAGTTATCAGATAAAATTCATAGAAATGGAATATGTAGTTGAATTTTTGAAACTTTTCGATACGTTCGAAAAATTATAAATATCATGGAATATATTTAGTGAGTCCATTAAAAAAAATTTTTATTATATCTAAAAAAAAATTATATACGTAATATAAAATTTAATTACCAACATATCAATGAGAATAATCGAATAACTGTTCTATTATTTCGATTAAATACGAACCAGATTGATCTATCGTAAAGCAAAAAGCTATCGCACTTTAAGTCTTAAGTTTTAACGAGAATTTCAATGAGTTGCATTCCGAGAAGCACGATTACAATCTCAACCTAACGTTATGAGTTTCTTAAGCGACGACAAACGTTAAAACGAATTTATTATGCGAGAAATGTTTAAGGCGCCATCACTTATAAGCTCCATCGCGAAGATATGTCATTACTACTAATAGCTATTTAACGATTAAGTGTATTTCAACTACTCTTATGTTTTCCAAGAAATCCTGTTTAAGATAAAATTTATTGAAATTTGTCGTGTCGTATCAAGTCTGAGCAAAAAGTTTGTTTGTCGTCTGGAAAATAGCCTTCGCCATTTTTTGCAATGCACTTTGAATCATTTCATTCATGAATCAACCCGACGATCAATTTCGCTAAAAAATTTTCGATCGTTCGAAATTATCCTTTCTCTTACGTTTCGTAGAAGAAAATCGACTCATATAGTTTTCGATTTGTCATGTCCAACAGACGAAAAATATGCTTTCTTTCGATACTCGTAGAAACAGTCAAGGTTGTACAATGAAAGGATCGATTCAAAAAAAAAAAATATGTATATATATATGTCTTGTTATAGCTAGAATGAACTACCTTACATAAGTCGTTCTCCTATCTCTATAGAGATTATTCCTTCGATCGAGTCAGAAGAAAATATATACGTGAAAATGAAAGAAGTAAGAAGAAAAAGAATTTTTAATCGATCTAATCATTTTTGATAATATAAATACAAATGTTCTAATTGAATATTATATATTAAAAATTATTTATACTCTTTCCTTTTTATGATATTCATATAAATTTATTAAAACGGATACGAAGTAACTCCTGTAATAATCGAATATTTCATTTATTTTAACAATTGGCATGAGCCGTCGGTGCTCACAGCGCGTGCCGGAAATTCATTCTCCACCAACATATAGAAAGAGTTCTCGCCACGAAGGCAATGACATTGCTCACAATGCCAGGATGCACTCCCGTCGTTTGCACCCGTCTGCCTCCGCTTGTCTCTGCGTCCACTCGACGTCACGCTCTCCTCGTCGAATCGACTCTTCACGGTCCACGCTTTCGAAGTACGCGTCTCCTCCTCTCTCCCTCCTTTTCGAACCGATCTCCTCATGACTCGCAAGAAACGCATTTAAACTATCTTCATTCTTTGACTATATTTGGTCACACGTTGAATGTACAGGAAACAAAAAAATCACTTGTCATGTTATAGATCATCTCGATATATAAACAATAATTAGAGAAACTATGAATTAGAGAAATTATGTAAAAATTTATTTATTCGAATAAATCATTTATTATTAAATTAACATCTAAATATATTATTATTCGCATGAAAATAAAATAATCGATAATGTACAAATATATGTCAAGTTTACATATGTATGACAAATAATTATTTATTTCTATATTGAAAATTATATGTAAAAAAAAAAAAAAGAAAAAAGAATGAACATGGATAAATTGAAATAATAGAATAACAATAATGAACAGCGAATAGTCACAATCGTGGAACCAACTAGAACTCGATGTGAGCCCATAAAATGAGAACGTAGAATCTATTTCGAGATAGATACAATTAGAAAATAAAATTCATCGTCGTGTTAAGCCTCGGATCTATCGCCATACTCGTTTTCGCATCATATATAATTTGGCTTATTCGACCAAACGATTTCAACTTCGTAACGACGAACAGAACTGCAGACGATCGTTCGTATTGCTTATGCCGTAGGATAGTTAGTAGGCAATTAATATATGTTAGTAATTTGTTTAATCGACCATATCGACCTGAATTCATACTTGGATAAATGTTAAAGCGTAAAAATATTACTCTTTAAGTTGTCTCGATCGATGTTAGATAACAAATGTATTTTACAATAGTTCATAACTATCATGCTTAGAAAAAAAAAAAATTATGCAAATATCATTATAATATATTCATGCATAATCGATAATTTCTTAATAATTGATTGATCAAAGTAATTATTACTTTTCATTTATTTTACATTACAATTGACGTATTTGATTAATTAAAAGTTTCAATTTTCAAGTTAATATATAAGTCGCATATCGATAAGAAATGTCAACTACATACATCGATCAATTACATAATATCGATATAAATAGTTTCTCATAATTACAGAAAATAAAATTCATTTTATCTTTAACTTTCTAAACAAATATATAAGAAAGTTTTAATCGAATTAATATTCTTGACAAGAAGAAAGGATGAATAGCAGGTTCTATGACATTTCCTTTTGTTTCAGTGCCAAACAGTCCACTCCATCTTAGCAACAGGGCCCACGTCTTGCTCTTATTAAAGAGGCCGCAAGCATCTCTCACAGATGCCGATCAGGCGGTTAGGCTTAGGCCTGACTGGGGCAAGGTGAGCTTAGGATTTTTTCTGTTTTCTTTTTTTTTTCTTTTTTTGGAAATGAACAAAGCAACCTTTTTTCGTGTTCTAACGATGATCTTATCGACAGGGTCATTATAGAAGAGGAGTAGCATTATCGGCTTTGGGTAGATACGAAGAAGCCTTTTTCGCCCTTTGCATTAGCGTTGCCATCGACAAGAATCCTCAAGTAGTACGGCACGAACTAACCAGGGTAGGTAAATATAATTTCCCTCCTTTTCAACTAGTTGGTGCCAAAGCATAAGAGCCTGGTAAACATAAGAGAATAAAAGTTCTTCGTTAAAAACGATGACGTTTCCTTCGTATTCGTCGTTGTCAGTTTAACGACTAATCGTCGTTGCGATAGTCGTCAGGTGAGTTTGCCGCTTGTTATCAACTTCCTACGTTTTTTCCCTAACTGACCCTTAACTGTAATCTCTATATTCTTTTTTCTCTCTTTGTCACGAGTAAAGTAGAACCTTCATTATTTGAATTTTTTTGTAATTCAACGAAACGTTCTATTTATCGTAGCAATGTGCTTTATTATACAACATATTATATCTCGTTCCTATCAATGCAAATGTATATTTCACGTAACGTTCGTATATCATTCTATAATAATCAAAATAAAATGTAAAATATTTGAAATCAAATTTAAGAATTAAATGATAAAAAAAAGCGAGTTCACGAAACGAAAAAGAAAAGAAAGAGATAATAAAAGTTTTAGATAATTAACATAATTTTGTAATTATGTGTATTTTAATGTAATTAAAATGATATGTTATATAAATTAGGAATTTGAATATAAATTTTTTTTTCTTTTTTTAGTTCTTGATTTTCTATGAGATATATATATAAAGTTCAATTTCAATCAATAAATTATTATTTTATTATCAAGAAATAATTTTATTAGCTGAAAACTTTCTCTTACACATATCTTACTGTTGATTCATATATGGGAGGTTCTTCGGTAATTATAAAAAAAAAAAAAAAAAAAAAAGAAAAATTCTATAGCCATTCGTAAAGAAAGGAGTGAGAAAGATAAAATAAATGATAAAAAACGTCACACGAACCTTTCACTCTGCTCCTTTCGAATAGACTGAAAACTCTTTAAAAACATTCTTGCATTATCTTTCTAGGTGTTGCATAGAATGTTATTGGCCGATTTACGTCGGCAGAGCGTCATGCAGCAGCGCACACCGTACAATTTAATAGAAGGTGTGCCCCGCACGAGGAGCCGTCACCAATTAACAAATCCCAAGCGTAATCGACGTGCCGCGTTTAATAGTTCGGATTGCGAGGACGATAGTAGTGGTGGGGAGGAGGAATTCACACAGGTATGTCGTTTCTTTTCTTATTGTACTTTCGGTTCCTTTTCTATTATTTTTATTATTATTGTTTCCTTTTTGTAATCCATTACTGTACTAAAACAGTAACACAAAAAAAGGATTGCCTTATTTTATTTTCACATATTTTTATTTAACCTTCATCCGTCCGACGAACTTTTGATAGGCTTGTGAACTATGACATGTCGTAATTAAAATCTAATTAATATATCTTTTTGCTAATGATTCAAGCGCGTTGCATAGATTACGTAAATATTATAGCTATCATCGTTGATATCGTGACCGCGATAAAAGGTGACGATTAATCAGTAATCGTTCACCGCGTCTAATTATAAACATGATACTCGACTCAATGTAGATTCCTACGTGACTATCTATCCATCGTGTTTTTGACCACTAAAGAACTATAATTAATCGGACAATGAGTTGAAAACCCATTGTTCAAAAACCTCTCCGAAATCATTCGAATTTATAGAATGTGAAATCGACCTACTCAATAACAGCTAGCTACTTTTTGCTTTTATATAATTTCATTGTTTCTTCTTTTTATCGCAGACGATAAGTCGAAGACTTCTCTCGAATAACGCCAAACTTCAAACGATCTTGGACCGAGTATCTCAAGATATGGAAAAACTTAAAAGTAAGTGACCGAAGAAAAAGAAAGAAAAAAAAGAAATAAAGATTAATTCTTTGCACTCGAAGTGATAACTCTCAACCTCGATTAAAATTTTGTGCTAGCATCGTATCAAAAATTTATCGTTTATGTAGGTAATTAAGTTACTTTTTTTATCAAATATATTCTTTTGGCACATTTTATGATAATTGAAATATAAAATCGATCTAAAAAATTTAATTCTTTCGAATTGAAGCAACGTTATGTATGTAATAAAAAATAATAATATTTATAATTTATTATTAATTTTTATACGCGAATATATTGACGCGAATAAAAAACTAAGTTGCGAGACACGAAAGGTTAAGTCAACGATTTCGTAAATATTTACGTGTATTTCATCTTGATTGTGAATGCTTAAAAATAAGAATTCTTTTCAGGAGTTGAAGCAAGACCGGCTGAGGTTCTATTACCGCCATTCGCGGATGGAACTGTCGGTGAATTAGACTGTATTTTATGCTGTCGACTACTTTGGAAACCTGTAACAACACCATGTGGGCATACATATTGTTGGATGTGTTTAGATAGGTGTTTGGATTATTCCTCGGCCTGTCCATTGTGCGTCACATCTCTTGCCGACGTAAGTTGTTTTTTCATTGAAAAATGAAAAAAATTTTGCTTGATAAACATAAATTTCGCTTACATATAATATAATTATTACATTGCAAATATTTCGATAAGTAATCCAAAATATATTTTTTTACATTGTAACGCTAACGTACTGTAAACTTTTAAAACGGTAAAATTAAATCGATTAAATTGATTAAATCGATTCCGCGGCTTGTTAGTCACGAGCCGTTACTCACGGGCAACATTTTGCGAAGATTGAAGGAAGAGGACTCGCTCGGTCGCGTTCTTATAACGACGATTGCAGCTTAAATAAGACAGAATGCTTTCTACCGTTCAACGATGCCTCATAGATCTTTAACGATCATTCTCCGCGGTCTTTGTGGTCACTACTATAAGCTTCCGCGTTTGCAGAGTTATTACCAATTGTCTATATTTAAGGATATTATCGGTTAATGACGAAAATTCTGTTAGTAAGAAGAGAGGTAACCGAGGGAAGCGACACCCGATGATTTTGTGGTATATCTACCATCTTCTTCTTCCTTTCTTTTCTCTAACTATTAATTTTATTTATTCATAATGTATTGCGCAACGACGAACGAACCGAGTTTCTGAGAAAGCATTGCGAGATTCGAACGTACGATATTTCACTATTAAATTAATATCTGCTAAAGGAGTTCTTTAAAAGGGTTGCGTTTTGTCTGACGTAATGGATGAGATGGAGCAAGAATACTAACGAATTATTCTTTATTTGCAGTACCTAGCAAGTAGTCAAAAAACTGTGACTGACTTTATAGAAAAGGCTCTGAAGATCGTAGCACCAACTGAATATGCAGCTAGAGCAGCGAGTCATCGACTCGAGTTGGTTCAAGGTCTCGGTCTTCTGGACAGCGAACAAATTGCTGTATTTATCTGTACCACTGCATTTCCATGTGTCGCCTGTCCCTTGTTCGTTTACGAGCCTAGATATCGATTGATGGTTAGAAGATGCGTGGAAAGTGGTATCAAACAATTTGGTATCGCTGCGTGTCTAAACAAAGAATCAAGCGGTACTAAAAGGTAAGATATTCGTTTCGTAATAAAATTATCTATCCCTTTCGAGTTTAGAAATTATTCGATTCCCGATTGATTTCTATTTTCGATATTTTTCTAGGTACGCGGAATATGGTACGATGCTTGAAATTCGGGATCGTGTTTTATTAAAGGATGGTTGTAGTATTCTTAGTACGCTCGGTAGAAGAAGGTTCAGAGTACTTTCTGGTGGTGAGAGAGACGGATATGATACAGCTCACGTTGAATTTCTAAGGGACACAATTGTACAAGGAAATCAATTGTTGAATCTACTAGAATTACACGATAAGGTATGTATAGATGTACGTTTATTTATATTTGTCAATTGCGAATAGAAAAACAATAAGATTCGTCGATTAGATTAGGAGAATACTGTGGGCTCTCTTACAGAAAAATAAAAAGCTTCCTGTCTTCGTCGCAGGTACGAGCAAAAGGTAGAAGATGGTGGAACACAGTGCCGTCTTATCAACAATCTGAAATTCAACGAGTTTTCGGTCGCATGCCCGACACAGAAGAGGATTGGCCGAGACTTCCGGACGGACCTTCGTGGACTTGGTGGTTATTAGCCATCTTGCCTCTTGGCCCACAACTTCAAGTTGGTATATTGGGTACTACTAGTTTGGAAAAGAGACTGAGAGCCATCGAGAAGACTTTAGATCACATGGAACAGAGACAACTCACTGTTGCGCCTGCACCATCGGAAGAGACAACAACTTCCTCGAGTATTTGCAGAGATAGACGGGCCATCACGGAGAGGACGGTCTCAGTTTTTCAACAATCCTAGAGATTTTCTACGTCGTCTTTTCTATTCCTCTAGATTCTATTAATAATATCTTCGCTTAAAACTCAAACGCGAAAGGAATAGAAGAACGATCCGATCTTCGACGATGAGGATAGATTAACAGATTCGGGATATATCGATTTTCTCGAATCATTCTACTCGAATCCTTCCTATCTTTCTTCCTTCTTTTTCCTCTCGCGTCCTTTTAATCAAGTATTTTCGCTCGAGTGCTCGCTCCATTAATTCGGCACTCGTTAAACTCTCGATCGGTTGCCTTATCGACGAATTGATACTACGAGCGATTTCGCACGAGCGACATATCTGGTATAACAAAGTAATGTAAAAAATTTATAAGCTAGATCGTTAACCTCGATGAGGCAAGCCGATTTTCTTTCCGCTATTGCAATACGCAAATCTGTTCTTCCAAAATATTATATATATACATATATATATATACATATATATATATATATATATATATATATATATATATACACAACACGATACTATACATTTATGAGTACATATACGGCTGATAACGTTTACCGGCGAAGAGCTGATTATATGAGGTTTTAACGCATCATAAAAAATTTCTTTAGCTCTTACATCGTTTCAAGTCCGATGCACACTTTATGAACAAATAATCAAACCTTCGACCAAAAAGATAAATACTTTTTATTAAAAATGTTACTACAATCTTCATGCTCTCTTTTCAGCTCTTTATCCATTTCTCTTTTTGTATCTATACATATACGAATACATATAACGTCTCTCTTTCAGCTCTTCAAAATCAGTCGCTATCGTTGCTAAACGATTCATAATCCGGCCATTTTTTCAGCCGGATGAAATGAATTTTTTTCGAAATTTTCGTCGTTCCTTCTATTTAACGACGCGAGGAGCACTTTTAAAGCGGCACGAAATGTAGACTTTTTATACCACTCAAATTTATTCCGTCATCCATAAGACTTCTCGACCACGCTAGCATATAGTAATTTATTTTCATGTTACTTTTAATATCATCGATTCTTAGAGGTAGAAAGTCTAACGAACTAGAAACGTCATATCAATCATGCAATCAAGTATTTACAGGAAGAATAGATACATTTTCGTTAGAGAATATATTACGATGACACTATGGTAAAAGAAAAAAGTACACTCTACTACTATTTGAATAAATATTATAAAATTTCTATCGTTAGCACCAACGACGCCGTCGATACTTTTTCGTATCGACGACGAGGATAATCGTCCGCGAATTCGCACTATCAATATTTTTCCTATCGAAAGTATATGAACGTATGAAAGAAGAAAGAAAACTTTTTTCATCCTTTTATAATCGTTATGAATCATTATTATTATAACGTAGACAAGTACGTACGCGAATATAACTAACGTAAATTTGTTGTTTTCGCGACGATTAAATTAAAATTATACTTTAGATTTATACTCTATTCTCTAAACTTTTACGAAGTTGTGAATCATGCATTGTGATATTATTCTATAGCCTAACTTGTATATTATTACTAAAGCAACATTACAAATATTATGTAATGCTACGTGACTTTCCATTTTTACTTCAACATTTCTATATTTATCTTCATCTCTTCATATTGAACATTGTAATAAAATATTATGAAATCGAAGCTTTACGGTTTACATTTGTTACAACTACCATATTTATTATAAGTAATAAAATATTACACGATAATCTTGATGTTTCGATATCGTCAAGATCGTCTCGTTTCGTTTTCTGTTTTACGATTGGTCATCGTGTAATTGGTATCCAATTAAAATAATTCGATCGATCGTTTCTCTTCGCTCTCCTTTGCAACTTTCAATATTTTCGTGTAGTAGAACGAAATCAAGCAAAGAGATCGGGATCGATGTAGAAGTCTCGAGAACAGGGAGAAGCCGAGTATGATTGGTAAGGTTGAATATTTGGAAAAATATTTGGTGGCACCACCACCTAGCAGAGACTACTATGGCCTCAAAATTCTTCAGGACGAGGTGTCAGCGATGATCATCAAAGATTTTTTCATCTATATAACCTCTTATTTTGCTTTCGTTTTACTTCTTCCTTTAGGTGATACTCTATATCTGGAAAATATCTCACGGACCTCACAAGACGCCGATTTCTCGTTGTACCAAATTTTTTGAATTCGATCAGGACAAAGCTTTGCAGGAAGATATAAGTCGATTTTTCGGTATGATTCAAATCCATATTTAGGAGTCTAATTAAAATGACTTTTAGATTGAGGATTCAAGAAAAACAATTTTCCTTTATTAAATACAATTTCATGCTACTTTCTTCTTCTTCTTTTTCTTTTTTTTTTTCTCTTTGCAATGAGACAGGTGAGCACTTCGTAAATTACGTTAAAAGTATCGCAGAAGGAAAAGGGAATACGCTTTTGACATTACCACGATCTTCGATCGGTAAAATCATTGAATTTCTTAAGATCGAAGATATCGTCAATTTATCATCTTTGTCACGTATTGCAAACGTAGTAAGTAATCGATGCGATACGCGAAAAGAAATTCATTTAAAAATGACTTTTAATAATTATTAACGATCAGATCTTTAGCGATAATTTCATCTGGGAAGCTTTATATAGAAGGCACAAGAGGTTCAATATTCGTAGAGAGGAAAGAGAATACGCTATGGCTTATGGTTGGAAACAAGCTTTCAAAGAAAAACAAATGGCAATTTCTACCGGACTACACAAAGTATGGAAATTTTTATTAGACGAGTGATAACGATCATGTATATATATATATATATATATATATATGTATATATATATATCGATATATATATATATCGATAGATTTTAATGTTTTATACTTTCATAGATACCAGGATCAACGATCAAACATGAAAACTTAAAAATGCAGCATCGATTGACTAAATCCATAAGCGGACCATTAAAAACTGTATCCAAAACATCAAGTTCGTCTATGAACAGCGAAACTGTAACACCCTTGCAAATTACTCAAAAAAATGCAGAGACGAATTTAACGAAATCATTTAGAAATAACGTGATCGATAATACTGCTAAAACGATTCAAATGGATAAGAAAATAAATACAAACATCAAAAAGATTAATAACGTAAAAGTGAATAAACCGCAAAACATAAAGAGTGTTATTAAAGAAAAATCGAATGTAAGGAAAACAGAATCGAAGCATGACGTTCGTGAATCATTTTCTGATTCGATGACGGTCACTCGGAAAAATGGTATAACGCAACGAAATCAAAAATCTGTTGTTACCGCGAAAAATACTAATACGACAATAGATATAACCGGGAAAGGTAAATTCGGTGATTCGAAAAAGAATGTACATAATAAAAGTACTCTATCGATGATAAAATCGAACGATGGAACTGCAACAGGTCAACAAATCAAAAACAAATCTCGATCTAAAAATAAAACCAAGGCGAAGGCATTAATACAAAATAATTCGAACGTTTTAAGTACTGACAAATCTTTTTTGGACGAATCATTAGACATGAAAAATGAAAATTTCGAATTGGCTTATCTGATAGAGGAAAGTCTAAAGAGAATTCGTAGTCCCAGGACAGTATTTGATTACGATTTTAGTTATCTCAGGGATTCGAAAACTTTCTCTGATCCAATAAAAAAGAAAGAGGAAACTGGTAAAACAATAAGTACGATGAAAGATTCGAAGCGAGATCAAGGCAATACGAGACTCGATCGTCTATCGGAAAATTCTGATTCTATGACTACATTATCGAATGATTCTATAATAAACGATGTTAAGGCGAATGAATCGGATCATTCTGGTATTAAAATTCCAATGAGTGAAAAAAATAAATCTTGGGATTCAAAAGTGACTACATTATCGAATGATTCTATAATCGATAATGTTAAAGCGAATGAATTGGATCGTTCTATGATCAAAATTCCAATAAGAGAAGAAAACAAATCTCGAGATTCGAAAATTATTATTGGTCGAAATGAAACGATCGAGCGTGTCATCGATTTTGATAAAAATTCTCCTAAAAAAAGTCCAAAAATAAAGGATGAAATGGATAAGAAATATTGTATCCCTAAAGGGATTCAAATGTCCATTAAAAGTCCAAAAATAATGGATGGAATGGATAAGAAATATTCTATCCCTAAAGGAGTTTTAAATAGTATTGATATAATGAAATCTTTAAAGTCGAGTAATCCGGTGATTAAATCGACCACAATATCCGGGAAAAATTTCATGACGACTGCTACGAACCGATTTGCCTTAAAAAAAAATGTAAATGAGTTGCGAAAGGATCAAATAATATAACACAATTGAAAGAACGTATTCATGCAATCCAAGATAAGCATGGTAAACGATATGATAACTCGTATGACGTAACACATAACGCAAAAACGTTAAAATTTTCATTCAAACAAAAAATTCTTATTCGTCATTAATATCTCGTATCATCCTGACAATTAATTGAAATGTTTCTATATATGATCACAATTTGATGATATGTCCTTAAATACATAAGTTTTCGTCTAACATCGTATTTACATTGTCACTATTTTGAAAATAAATTTTAACTTTAACATAAGCAGATGTTTTTTAAAAATTTTAGTCTCTTCCTGATCCTCATATATCATATCGATATCAATTTCGAAAATATCTTTTTATATGTTATATGTAATGTTTAAAAACGTATTATTCCATTAGATATATATATAATACAAGAATTCCCTAATTGTTACGTCAACTAATAGCAATTGTATATACTTTCCACAATTATTTCAATTTTATATAATTTCATAAATTTTTACGAGATGAATCTCGAAATGTATCATTACTCGACTATAAATAACAATACGAATGTTATCAAACAATACGAATATTGACTTAAAAAATTTGATTAGAACCATCAAACTTTATTGTCATTATTAAGCCTGACACTATCAGTGCATTTATGCCATTTGGAGAAAGCAACACGAATGTTTTCTCTGTATAATTATTATTTAAAATGCATATAATTATTATTTATATGCATATTAATTAATAAATATTTTCAACGTAAAAATGAAATTTGTGCATTATCATAAATTGCATAACTTTCAAAGTGTGAAATCAAAAACTCACCCTCGTATATTTCAAATTTCAATGCAATCACATTTGCTATAATGAATTTTTGAACACACGTTTCATTTTTAGCTGTATGAATCACCATTATAATACATAATATTTCGAATACTTTGATCACACCCGCTTTTACCATTATACACATGTAAAATTGACAATTTCTCTCACTGTATTCGATATCAGGATATCACGTGGCATCCGCTCTTAAGATAATTTTTTTTAAATTTTAATTGACGATATCGCAATTCGTACCCTTATTTCATCAACGATCATAGCTTTATACAATTTCATTTTCTCATAATTCTATACGATAATTCGATAAGTAAAAATTCATAAAATCTTTACAAGGAATGAAACTACCGCCATGGTTCGGTCTCATTATACATCCTTTCTATATTATCGCGTAGCATTTTTTCTTGATCTGCAATGAAAGAGATATTTTAATATATATCACATAAAATTTCATTAAACAAAAAAAGAAAAAGAAAATATAGAAATGTTAGTAACAATAAAAAGAGATACAATGTTAATTTATGTTTACCTCCCGTTAAATTTGCAATCACGCATTGTTTTCTGAGAAACTCCAAACAAAGGGCACGGGAAAGACCGAAGGCGTGCATGTTACAGGTAAAAGTACTAAAAAGAAGTGATAAAATACAATGATCGAAAACTTATTCGATATTGATTGAATTTTAATACGTACCCTAATTGCCCGAAGACTATATTAGCTTGAAATTTCCTATCTTCTGCTGCAATCGCTTCCTGATCAAGAGATTTTGGTCTCGGTGGTATCGGTCTTAATGCTCTTTCACATTGTACAGCATCGAAAAAAGCTGCGGTCCAAAACCTCATTGATGTCCAGATTGGTTGAACGCGTAAATGAGTGTAAAGATACTCTCGATATGGTTCCAAGCCTGGTACCTCGACTAATCGAAAATAAAACAACGATTAAAATCTCATAATTTCGATTTACTTTATCCACGAATACTAACCTTCGTGATAAAAAGTAAAACACATATTCATTAGATTTTTGGCTGGCGCAAAATCGTCAGCTTCATGGCATTCGAAAAGTGCCACGGCAAAATGTTGAGCGAGTGAATAAAATGAAGCTTCTGTTACACACGCACGTGCTCTTCTCGCATTAACCACTCTGGAGAACCATATCCTACCGGATTCCGTCTATAAATTTATTCGTCTCATTAATAACAATATCATCGATGTTTATATACATAGAATTATTTATAAGCAGATAAATGATATAACTAGATGAGAATAAATTCAAAAAGAAGTAAATAAATAAAATGCTCCATTCTTTTTTTTTTCTTTTTGAATAAAACCCAAAACATTTTATCATCGTCGTAAAATCTACTTATCAAATATACATTGTATCTACTATAAACAAATATATACATGTATTATATTTACATGTATATAATAACTAGTAAGCGATAATATATCTTATACATCTATACATACGTATAAAAATATTTTACGTACAAGGACCATTTGACCGAAATTTGCCTTTTGTTCTTGATCTATGGTATTTGGAGCCTCGAAAAGCAAAGGAACAAAAGTTTTCATAAAATCAGCAGCTGCCTCTTCCGATTGGCTATCAGCCGATAAACTGGATGCCCAGGATTGAACGGAACTGGAGGAACCTAAGAACATAAACATAAAAGTTCGATGATTAAAATGATGAAGAAGAGATGTTTAATTTTCTAAAATCGTATCTTTATTCTTAATATATTTACCTGATCTTTGCCAAAATCTACGTCCATCCATGTTTGAATCTAAACTGGTACTGGGGCCATAACCATCCTGATCGCTGGTCGAATCGCTGCTACAAGGCATATCTGAAATAGTATTCTACTAACCATCACCCTTGTTTACGATAAAACCATTATTATCTAACGTGTTTACAATACACGTCAAAAGCGTTTATACGGCCAGTCGTGTCGCGAGTTCTGTTCGTATCAATTGCGATAATAAATCCAGTCTAGCGTATCCCGCAATAAAATGGCAAGACGAGAACATGATCTCTATAGGGTATAACTAAAAAAAGATAAGGATGTTTAGACAGTGCTAGTACACGTATTATAATTCAATATCGCTAACTAGATGTGCGTTTTAACTAGCACATTTTTTTTGTGGGATTACATTACAACACTACATAATTTTTTTTACATCTTCCCTTGGCCAGCTTCTACCTCACCAGCGTGATCTTATGTAATTATTATGGCGTACAAATTTTCTACGACAACTCATTTACAGAAAACATTTTTGAAACATTAACTTTTCCTGATGTTACGAATTATCTCTATTTCTTCTTCTTCTTCTCTTCCTTCTTCTTCTCTCTTCTCTCTCTCTTTCTTTTTCTCTTTTTTCTCCCTCAAAGACCTTTTTTCTTTTTAGAGGAAGCACCAGACGACAAAGTACACAAAAACACGAAGGAAAAGGTCGAGTGCTTAGAAGCACATAGATAAGCGGATAACAGTGTAGATTCTTTTATTAAAGAAACATGAAATACCGAGGAAGTGGAAGGGGGGAAGCTATGATCTCACTAATTGCACCTACATAACGTCAACAAAAACGGGGTGAGATGTTTCGCGTAAGAAAAACCTGGCGTGATGTTACACAAAAAAGGGGTGGTACACTAACGTCTATTTACCTAACCGAAAAATGACCGTCTGATAGCGGGTCGGAGCCCTTGCTTTATTGGAAAAGAAAGAAAAAAATAAGATATAGAGTTTATTATTATTGTCCTCAAAGAATAAAGAAAATATGTCATAATAGATATTAATGTCATAGGAGAATTATTTTAATTGTACTATATACTCTTGATATATTTATTTACCTGTTTTATAATTCAATTTATCATAAGGATCAGGTCCGGTAGCTTTGATGTCCTTTTCCTGAAGTGGTTCTATACTCTCTTGGCTATCTCTATCTGGACTGTTGTCCTCGTATTCATTAGATTTATCTTCTTGTCTCTTGCGCGATGTTGATCTCGATGAAGCTATTTCCTCATACGTCATTCCACGTGGATACTTTCTCGAATTTCTCGACAAGCTGGCACTACCTTGTCGCTCCAATTTATGCCTCGCCATTGCTTCGTAATCCTCATATGACAAGCCTGCACCGAATCTAAAAATGAATATTCAAATATTGTTCCGGATCATTTATTTCTATTTTATTAGAACTTAAACAGATATAAACATGCTTCGAGTTATAAAAATAATAAACATTATTTCTAATAAATAATTGATTACAAAATAATAATATAATTGTTAAACAATTTATATTGGCTTTGATTGATGTAATGTTATTGAAGTAATGTTATAGAGAGAAAAATTACCGCATATTTTAATATACACATTAGTATGATGGATTTCGATAAAAATTAAAAGATATAAAATTAATTGTAACAAATCTATATGTATAAAATAGATCTGTCTATTTATTATCTAGACATGCTCAAGTTTGTCTAGCTTATATTTATCCGTATACTTTCTCATTGAGAATAAGTGGTAGAAAGGGACAATAATAAAAAGAAAAAAGATCTCAGCTCGCCTTGGAAGTCTCAATTTTCTACGCGCCAAGTGCTCCTCTTCTTTCACTGGTTGATGGGGAGGTGACGAGGGAGTTGAGGATGGTGTTGTCAATTCATTCTCTTCTAAACTATTACTCAATGCTGATCCTATTCTATTCCCTAAGCCTTGAAGGTATTCGCCGCTACCACCTAAAGCGGATCTTACAGTTCTGAGAGCTCCTCGAGTACGACCAATTAAAGAGCCTCCTGCCGTCGATGGCAAAGCCGTTGTAACATCCACCATATCTTCTAATGCAAAATTATTCGAATAAATTTTTTATAAAGAAAAGAAAATAATAGAGAAAAGTTGTCAAAGTCTAAAATATTTCAAAACATACAAATGTTAAATAAAATTGCATTGTATTAGATTATAATAAATTAATCAAAAAATTATATCTATTGTATTTAATTTTTTTTTTTTAATATTCCCAACACGAACAAAAGTAAATTTCATTTACAAATTTTATTCGTTATATGACATTGTTCATTTAGTTTATATATTTATCGTTAAATGTTGTTTATATTTAGTAATAAAAAAAAAATTAGACAACGACTGATTTAAATGATCACTACATATTTGACAACTCTTCCCTATGAGAAATTTTAGCGCAGAGAAATATTCTAAACTATCTTCTCGTCGATATCGTCCGATCAAAATTAGAATATATTTTATATTCGAGTAGAAAGATGATTAAGTACGTAAAGGTAAAAAAAAAGTAATCTTAGATAAAAAACAAAAAGAAAAAAAAGAAAAAATAAAACGAGACAAGAAAATAAAATAAGAAAAAAATAAAAAAAAGACAATCTTAAATAAAATATAAATATACATTGTACTCGTCAATGTATGTATGTAGGTATATAGGTCATCTCACTTGGTTGCCTATGAGAATACATTCACGAGTTTAAACCTACGCATATCCATAGATAAGTGTGAAAATTTGAATGAAAGGAATTTTTAATGTCGAGAACTCCATTATGAATAGTAGAATATGTGAGACATGTATATAAAATTAAGGATTTAATGAAAAATTCCGAAGACCATCCTATAGGACGATAAATTTAAATGAAAACAACTTGCCATGCATTTACAATACTGGAGGAATATGAAATAATGCGCATGATGTATATAGATGTTGAAAATCGATAGATTTATCAATAAAACAAACTTAGATACTGAATATCATATCACGAGAATTGTTAAGCGTATTTGTTCGTACCTGACGAATGAATTAAATATAACTATTTCGAACTATATAGATATATCTATATCCAGAATATAGGTAAGTATATCATCATTTAAATTATTAAAATAGTTCTTAACAATAAATTAATAATGTTATAGAATTTTTCTATCCGGTATATTTTACCATCGAATTTGTTAATATAATTATATTATAATTATATTTATTTAATCAATTGATTAAATAAATATAAATATTTTTTATTTTTTATTATTGCATATAATATTGTTAATAGGAATGATCAATGTTACTATTAAATTATAAAATCCTATTATTTGATAATTATTCTTCCAATCATATTTATATTAATCTCAGTAATTAAAAAAGCGATCTTTTATATAATAAAATTATGTAAATAATTATTTAATGCGAAATTTTTAATTTAAAAATTCACTAAATTAACCAAATGCGATCTGTCTTTATGAACTCATTCTTGGATATACATTATAATCACCGCGGATATCCTTTCGCGATAACGTTATTAATGAGAGTTATTGTTGAAAATGTTTTATAAAATTTTAAGTGAATAATACGCATTTTTAATTCTTCTTGGGAAATATCAAATTATATGTCTTAATAAGGAACCGCTATATATAATTTGAAAATTATGATAAAGACAGAGAAAGAGAGAGAGGGGGAGGAGAGAAGAGAAAGAAAATGAGAAAAGAACGAATACGCGGAATATAAACTTCTTTAGATTATTGATTTTACCTGCATTCATATATCGAACATTTGATGCGATAAGATAGTTAAATTAGCATAGCGCTCGTTACCGAGAATGATGCAAATGTTCGGATTAGTATAAAAAAAGAAACATATGTCTATTGATCATGTAAGACGTATCGACAATGAAAAAGACGTCTATTTCCTTTTTCCTTGAAATGATTTATTATAGGTATATGATAAGACTATATTTTACACCACAATATCCTTGGAATATTGTCTTCATAATGTATGAAACAATAAAGATGAACAATAATTACTGGTTAATTATCGTAAAAAAAATGTAATAAATGACTTTAAACAAAAATATTAATCGTTCGGAGAATAGTTAGATATTACGTGCATGCTTAGTTCCGATTCAGAACAATGAAAGGCCGCAATGTGATCAAATGATCGATTAAAACTAACAATAAATAAAGGAATCATGCGATAAGATGCCGGTAAAGTAAAGTGCATTGACTCGAAGTCAAAGATTAAATGTAATTAAACGCATCGTCAGAAAACACAAATAACTGCAATGCAGCTCTATCTATATCACATTCCTTTCATCATGCGGGTCGTTGCAAAATCTATCTCAGGTTTCTTGTTCTTTTTTTTTTTTTCTTTATCTATATTATGCGATTTTTTTATACAATTGTTGATCTTTTTTCAAAACGATTTTTTTTGCATAAAATTATCGAAATTAATTCGAAATAACGTAAAGAAAACTATAATAAAGCAAAAGTTGTTCTCTCGATAACATATGCAATATCAAGATAAAAATATAATGTACATACCTTTTATTATTAATATTTATAGTTTCAACGTGACACTTTTGTCTTTTCTTAACACCATATACAAATAATCGTAATCGATAAAACTCGATCACATCTTCGAGTTTCGTTTAAAAACGCACCAAAAAACACTCTAACAGATTTACATAAATATTCAAATCGACGTCAGCCTATGTCTTATTCGCTTTTAAAATCGCGATTTCAAACAAAACTTTACTTTATGGTGTATATCAATGAATTAAATTTCCAAAACTAGCTGTTTTATCAATGAAATATGACAGATCGTAAAAGTAACGTTTGAACAGAAAGCTCCGTCGATTTGCGCTACGCTAAGTGTTGCAGCTGCTTACGTTTCTTTCAATACAGCTCGCATTACGCTTCCCACATATAATCCGATTAAGCGATGCGCATGCGTTTCTAGCGATCAATAATACAATGGTCTTCGTTTACCAACACGTAACTAAACTACTAGAGACATCGAGTGGAATTTTTAATTTTTACTGAGTAACAGTCGATAACATATCGACTGCTGGTAAAGAATCTTATAACTAAAAATAAAAATCCCTAGAAATACATAGTGTATTTATGTCTTATCAAATGCTAAATTGTTTTTTTAAGAATAAAAGAGATAGTGAATCCTGAAAGAAATTGTTTCAACAAAGAACAAATGAAATAAACATTTATCAGATAGTATATTTAAGAAATAGGATACTATAGTATTCCAGCATATTCGTTATCCCAAAAGAATGGAGGTAAATACGTGTAAATATAAATTGTGAAAATTCGATGAAACATCTGATTTAGGGGACAGTTTTTTATTTAGATATTTAGAATTTTATAATATTAAAAGAATATTAAGTAAGTTTGCATCATTGAAACTCGTATTTATTCCAAATTTTCCATTATACTTCCTAATTTGTTGCATATGAATCTAATTCCTAGATGATACAACTGCTCCTTCCCAAGGTGGAAGGTTTAAATGATTCCAATACGGTTTATGTCTGAAAATAGAAATATATGGTTTGAAATTAAATCATTTTCATTTTCCACGAGTGTCCATGATGTAAAGAAAAAATTTTTACCTCTCCGGATAATAGCCATCGGCTTCAACGTATGTCTCATTGTAAAGTGGCATGTATTCTTTCAAATCTACGAAAATATCTAACACTGGAGAGAAACTCATAAAGAAAGTCACTACTTCTCCGGGAATTTCTCGACTGATAACTAACATTTCGCAGTTGTAACAATAATGAGTGTTAAATTTATACACATTCATTTTCAAATCACCATTTTGAAGAGCGCGCGACGTGTTGCGCAATTGAATCAAAGATCGGTATACCTTATAAACTGACGCACCAGCAATGTTCTTCTGACTTTCCAAATTCAATAATTTATAACTTGCATGAACCGGAAGCCACGTACGATTACTCTTGCTGAACCCTACCAATCAAAAAATGCATAATATTTTATCATGTAATATTTGGATAAAATCAAGAAATTTTAAGAGTTTATTTGTCTATTCACCGGCATTTTTACTATTGTCCCATTGGAAAGGTGTGCGACATGGATCGCGAGATCGAATTTGATATTTATCCTTTCCAGCGTTACAAGCTTGCGGATCTTGGGTATCCTCCCAAGATATGTCATTCTTATCAGACATTCCAATTTCTTCTCCGTAATAAGTTACGGCAACACCAGGCAAGATCATTGGTAACATAGTCATCTGAACAACCCTTTTTGGATAACGCGATGCGGTACGACTTCGATCGTGATTTCCCAACTAAAACAAATTATTTTAAATCACGAAATAATTACTAACAACGATTAATGATCATTAATATAACGGAGATAGATAACTTACCACCCAATTAGCACTTCCATTCTTTGGAGTTTTAGCTATCCATGCTTCAATGATCCTCTTAAAATCGGATGCGCTCGAATTGTGATTAACATCGGTGATCAATTTGAAATTGAATGGTATGTGAGAACCGTACTGATAATATCTCGTAGTATTTTCTAGAGAAGTGTAAGCTTCGGTCATCATCACCTAAAGAACACAAGAACAGCGATTAACATATTGAGAGAAATTGTAACGATTTCTCGTAAGAATCAATACCTTCTCATCCTCGTTATTGGCATCGGAATAATCATCAAGAATCTTTCTCCAGCTTTTTACAAGTTCATAGGTTCGTGGATCGTCTTTGGTATAAATGTGGTCCAAATAAGTGTAATCACGATCGGTAGCATTTGGATCGGAACTTCTGGGTTCATCATGGAAATCTTCTCTTTCGAAGAGATGCGGAACGGCATCTATTCGAAAACCATCTATGCCTTTACGTAACCAAAATAGAATGACGTCCTGAAAAATATAAAATCATGAAATTCGACAAATTCAATTGAAGATGCATCTTCAATTTGAAAATTGCACTAACTTCCATCTCGGCTTGCACTACTGGATTACTATAATTTAAGTCTGGTTGTCTGTACTCGAATTGATGGAGATACCATTCCTTCAACGTTGCATTGTAGGTCCAAGCAGGACCACTGAACAGGCTTATCCAATTGTTCGGTGGAGTAACTCCATCATCCTTTCTTCCTTTCCTCCAAACATAATAATCTTTATATTTCTTCTCCCCTGCGAGAAACTTTTGGAACCACTCGTGCTTGTCGGATGTATGATTTGGTACGAGATCGAGAATTACCTGCGAAATGTAATCAAAGTAACGATCATTAAACAAACCATGAGACGGATTTGAAAGAATTTATGAAAAATTTTGGAGACAAAGATTGCCTCACTTTTAATCCAAGTCGTTTCGATTTTTCTACCAATGCTTCAAAATCCTCCATCGTACCAAACTCTGGATGTATGGCTTTGAAATCTGATATATCGTAACCAAAATCAACCATTGGACTCGCATAAATAGGTGAAAGCCATATTCCTCGAACTCCAGCGTCAACGAAATGCTCCAATTTCGATGTAATACCTTTTTTGTTAGGAGCACAACAATATTACAAAAATCATATTATTTAAGATTTCTACGAGAAACCTGTAATGTTTTTTACCTTTTAGATCGCCAACTCCATCGTCATTCGAATCCATAAAACTCCGTGGATAGATTTGATAGAATACGGCGTTCTTCCACCATCCTTTATTTTTGATCTCGCCATGGACGAGACCAGTAGCGAGTAAAAGGGAACAAAAGTAAACTGCACGAAACATTTTCGAATCTGTTGTTCCCAATGATATTCCGTATATATATATTCTTGAAATATAAAAATTTATGGTACGTTATCTCACTATGTTTGTACTAGCGATAAGAATTCATTAATTTCTTATTAATGCGTGTCGCAATTTATCAGGAAAAATATTGAAATAATATTTATTTCAAAAGAATGAATTCAATTTTTTTGTATTATATAAGAAAATCCACTATCGCTGATATAGGTTGATTCTTTTTTGAATCCTAGCGGAAATGGAAAGAAAGAAGCGATTTTGAAAAATTATTATTTGTTTCATCGAACATCTTATCTTTCCTTGATTAAATTAATCTTGATAATATTCCTTAACAACAAATTGTAAATATCCATCGTTTTACTATTATCTATGATATGAGAATAAAATCAAAGTATTTGAATCATTTTATATTTAAAAAACCGAAATTTGTGTGATCTGATTAGAATATTTTTAATCATAAATCATTTAAATATAACACGGATAATGAGCAAATCGATGGATAACAATAACGTGCAAAAGGGAACAAAAGCAAACCGTGCGAAACATTGTTTTGCAAAACATGTCATGCACAATCCGATGATGTTGCATATAAAAATATTCCTTAAGTGTAGAAATTTATAATACGTCATCTCTCTAGTTACGCTATCAATAAGATTCTATTACTTTTTAATTGATAAGTGCTATATATTATCATGAAAAATAATTAGGGTATATATTCATTCGAAGATAGCGATAAAATTTTTCTGTTAGATGATAAAATCTATTATTATATATGAACCGCTTACTTGCCAAATCGATTAATTAAAATAAAATAAAAAGTGAACAAATGCGACGAAATAATATAAATTGTTTTTTAATATTCCTATTAAAATATAAATTCAAATAAACATTGTAGTATGTATAAAGTCCTTGTTGCTTCTTTTGTATTGCATTATTGTAACGATTTGCATTAAAGTACGGAGTTAATTAGATTGGCTTCTCAAGTATAAATTATTTTTTATTCAATTGTCAAAGAAATTTTGTCATATAATGGTATTAAATAATCTGAATTTGGGAAATTTATTGTAAATTTAAAAACTCAGGACTCCATCAAGTACCATGACATTTAAATTTCAATAAATTCTGAAAGTCAAATTAATCGATTTGGCTTGTGAATGTTTAATATGTAGATCGATGCTTTTTTTGAATGCTAGTGAACATGGCATGAAAGAATCAATTTGGAAAAATTATCACTTATTTTATCGGATATCGTATCTTTCTTTGATTAAAAAAATCTTAATAATATTATTAAACAACATTATTGTAAATACATATCATTCTATTATCATCTGTACTATGAGATTTAAATCAGGGTATTTAAATCATTTTATTTTTCAATAACCATATATACATAAATTTGGCTCAATTCATTTCGAAAATGTTTCGAAGATACTTAATCATAAATGATTTATATAAATCATCGTTGCTTCGGTGTAAGTTGATCATCCTGTATAATAAATTGCTATTCTTCACGAACGAAAGATAAACTACGATGGATATAATAAGATTTATAAAAATATAGAGATTGAAGTATGAACTCAAATATATAAAGGAAAATAAAGATCAAAATCGAAACGTACATTACAATATACATATCCAAAATATACTGATAATAATCAATGATATAACATTACATCATTAAAATTACCAGAAATTATGCAAACTTCTCCATTATATTTCCAAATCGTATTACAATGTGTTAATTGTAAATCTAATTGCTAGATGATACGACTGCTCCTTCCCAGGGTGGAAGATTTACTTGGTTAAAATACGGTTTATATCTGGAAATGGAAAAATATGATTTGAATTACTACGTTTTCATTTTCCATGGGTGTCAATGCCGTAAAAAAAAAACGATTACCTCGTAGTATGATGTCTATCGATTTCGACGTATGTATAATTGTAAAGTGTCATGTGCTTTTTCAAGTTTACGGGAAGGTTTATCACTGGAGAGAAACTCATGAAGAGAGCCACTGTCTCCCCAGGAACTTCTCGGCTGATAGCTAAGAATTCACAATTGTAACAATATTCCGTTTTGAGTTTCACCACTTTCATTTTCAATTCTCCTTCCTGTAAAGCGGGCGAAGAATTGCGCAATTGAATCAAAGATCGATAAATCTTATAAAGTGACTGTTGTGTCGTGTTCTTTTGATTTTGCAAATTCAATAATTTATAATTTTCATGAACCGGAAGCCATGTTCGATTACCTTTGCTGAATCCTATTAATCAATAAATTCGTAAAATCTTTTTAAGTAATATTTTAATAAAATCAAGGAACTTTAGTATTAAATTGTCTATTCACCAGCATTCTTACTACTGTCCCATTGGAAAGGTGTGCGATTAGGATCGCGAGATCGACTTCGATATTTATCCTTTCCGGCGTTACAAGCTTGAGGATCTTGTGTGTCCTCCCAAGATATATCACTCTTATCAATCATTCCAATTTCTTCGCCGTAATAAGTTACCGCAACACCAGGCAAGATCATTGGTAACATAATCATTTGCGATTCTCTTTTTGGATAACGTGACGCGGTACGACTTCGATCGTGATTTCCCAACTAAAAATAATAAATTCTAATAATGAAATAAATGTTAACAACCATTAATAGTAACTTATCAAAGATATATTACTATTAATTAGTTATTTATCAAAGACCGACGACTTACCACCCAATTGGCACTTCCAGTGCTTGGAGTTTGTGCCATCCACGCCTCGATGGTTCTCTTAAAATCTGATGCAGTCGAATTATGATTCACATCGGTGATCAGTTTGAAATTGAATGGTATGTGAGAGCCATACTGGTAATATTTCGTAGTATTTTCTAGAGATGTGTAAGCTTCGGTCATCATCACCTAAAGAACACAAGAACAACGATGAACATATTGAAAAAAATTGTAATGGTTTCTCGTAAGAATCAATACCTTCTCATCCTCGTTATTGGCATCGGAATAATCATCAAGAATCTTTCTCCAGCTTTTTACAAGTTCATAGGTTCGTGGATCGTCTTTGGTGTAAATGTGGTCCAAATAAGTGTAATCACGATTGGTAGCACTTCGATCCGAACTTCTGGGTTCATCACGAAAAAGATCGCTCTCGAAGAGATGCGGTACGGCATCTATACGAAAACCATCTACGCCTTTACGTAACCAAAATCGCATAACGTCCTTCAATATACAAAATCACGAAACTCAAAAAATCCAATTGGAGATACATCTATTAATTCAATAATCACACTAACTTCCATTTCAGCTCGCACTACTGGATTACTGTAATTTAAGTCTGGTTGTCTGTACTCGAATTGATGGAAATACCATTCCTTCAACGTTGCATTGTACGTCCAGGCAGGACCACTGAACACACTGATCCAATTGTTCGGTGGTGTCACACCATCATCCTTTCGTCCCTTCTTCCAAATATAATAATCCTTATATTTCTTCTCCCCTGCGAGAAACTTTTGAAACCACTCGTGCTTGTCGGATGTATGATTTGGTACGAGATCGAGAATTACCTGAGAAATAATAGCAAAATTGCGACCTAAGAAACTGCTATGAGACGGATTTGAGAAAGTTGGTAAAAACAATTAGAAACAGAAATCGCCGCACTTTCAATCCATGTCGTTTCGATTGTGCCACCAATGTCTCAAAATCCTCCATCGTACCAAACTCTGGATGTATGGTTTTGAAGTCTGATATGTCGTAACCAAAATCTATCATTGGACTCGCATAAATAGGTGAAAGCCATATTCCTCGAACTCCAGCGTCGACGAAATGTTCCAATTTCAATGAAATACCTTATTTGTTAAGAGCACAATAATAATACAAAAATCATATTATTTGAGATTTCAACGAGAAACCTGTAATGTTTCTTACCTTTTAGATCACCGACTCCATCATCATTCGAATCCATAAAACTTCGTGGATAGATTTGATAGAATACAGCGTTTTTCCACCATCCTTTGTTTTTGATCTCACCATGGACGAGACCAGTAAAGAGTAATAAAGAAATAAAGCTAAACGCGCGGAACATTTTCTCGCCTGGTAGCGTTTGTCATGTAAAATCCGATGATGTTTCATATAAATATACTATTAAAGTCTAGAAATTTATGATACGTTATCTCATTAAGTTTACGTTATCAATAAGATTTCATTACTTTTTAGTTGATACGTCCTGCAATTTATTAGGAAAAGAATTGGACTATATATTTATTCAAAGATAGAGATCAAATTTTTCTATTAGATAATAAAATTTACTATCATGTATGTAAATCGGATACTTTCTTGAAAATTTGTGAATATCGCAAGAAAAAAACTGTTTTGAAAAATCATTGATTTTTTCGGATCTTATCTTTCCTTGATTAAATGTATCTTGAAAATATACCTGAATAATACGTAGATACTTATCACTTTACTATTATCTATGTTATGAGATTTAAATCAAAGTATCTGAATCGTTTTCTTTTTTTTTTCAATAAATAGATATACGAGAATTTGATACAATTCGATTCTAATATATATCGAATTTAATCATAAATCTAATTTAATCATAAATGATTTTAAATAAATCAGCATTGCTTTAGTAACTTGTTTGTTTTGTACAATAAACAGGTATTCTTGTTAGACAAATGATGTACTATGATGGGTAAAATACTATTTATAATAATGTAGAAACTAAAGTACGAACTTTATTATTTCAAGACAAATAATGATAAAACTAATCTTAAAAAAATATTCAAATACAGAAATTGTCACGAATCGGAGCTAATGGAATATGCGATTGATTAACCTGACGTCTACTATAGAACTTATAAATCTAGGTGGGCGACTTCCTACGTAGGGAACAACTACGTAGGTAACGAGCGCGTTACAATTAATATTGGTATATTGTCGAGCAAAAGATCGAGTTATATAACAAACAACATCTGTAGACATAGTTACTGTCGACTTAAGGCTAATTCCTTCCTATAACCTTGGAATGGGATGACATAAATATCCACGCAGGTACACTGCTAACCTTGAGTTTCTAATATAGTAGTGATTGAATAAAGGGATTTCTCTGTAACATATCACAACGAATATTAGTGTCTAGTTACCGTCAACTCGTAGTACTCCATAATCAGCAACCTCAACGTGGTGAGTCCTGTATCGAAATTACTTATGATATATCCAAATCTAATTGTAAGCCATGTAACGCAAGTACTGCACGATGAATAAATATATATTTCAATGCGATTCGGAATTCTTTTTTTTTTTAATTTTGACGAAACATTAAAGTACTTACATTTTTAATTGCTAATGATTCTTCAGTCGATAAATAGATGAGATAGATTTCCAAAATAATATCTTAACGCTACGAGTAGAAAATATTAATTCGATTTTACAGTTTTATCTTATTCGTAAATCAATGAAATGAATTACAAAGCAATCATATTATTAAGCAACTACAAACATTGATTCTAAGATTGATGATGAGTTATAAAAAATATTTATTTAAAATCATATTCTATCTGTCATTAAAAAATAATAAGAATCACGATAGGAATATATTTACAGAAGTTTACTAATTACGTAGATAGCTATAAATAAAAATCGATATGGGCATTGCAAAATATATATAGTATTAAAGAAAAATTTGACAAAGAACAGTATTATTGAATTAATCACATTTATTATATTAATTAAACTAACTATTACGTTACTTAATATTTGATTAATTTATGTCAATAATTAATCATATTTTGAAATGTTAGTCCTTTCTCATTTTATTATTTGAAATCTTAACGAATATTTTGTATTGCTACCTATGCTTTTTAAATTCAACAGAACACAGATATAAGAGAAGATCATATTTGAATCAAAACGGTCACTGCATTCACACACGGTTCAAGCAAAAAGTAATGAATCATCTTTACTAAACGGATTCTTTCTTCAATTATAAAGTCAAGAGAATATTATATAAAATTGCATCATTGAAATTATTAGGATACATGCAAAATCTTCCATTATATATCAAAAACCTATTGCAATTTGTTGATTATCAATCTAATTGCTAGATGATACGACTACTCCTTCCCAAGGAGGAAGATTTACATACAATATTAATGGTTTATATCTGAAATAGAAATATACAATTTGAAGTAAATATATTTTCATTTTTCACAAGTGTCAATGCCGTAAGAAAAAAATTATTACCTCTTCGTACGATAGGCGTCGACTTCGACGTATGTATATTTGTAAAGTGTCATATGTTCTTTTAAGTTTATGAGAAGGTTTAACACCGGAGAGAAACTCATAAACAGAGTCACTGTTTCTCCGGGAACTTCTCGGCTAATAGCTAACAATTGGCAGTTGTAGCAATAATCCGTCTTGAGTTTCACCACCTTTATTTTCAATGATCCTGTCTGTAGAGCGCGCGAAGAATTGCGTAATTGAATCAAAGATCGATAAGCTTTGTAAAGAGACGGTCCTGTGGAGTTTTTTTGTTTTTCCAAATTTAGTACTTTATAATTGCTATGTACAGGGAGCCACGTTCGATTAGCCCCGCTGAATCCTACCGAGCAATAAATTCAAAGTATCTTTTTATGTGATAATTTCAGATAAAATCGAGAAACATTTAGTGATCATTTACTTATTCACCGGCATTTTTACTACTGTCCCATTGGAAAGGTGTGCGATTTGGATCGCGAGATCGACTTTGATACTTATCCTTTCCAGCATTACAAGCTTGCGGATCTTGCGTGTCCTCCCAAGATATATCCTTCTTGTCAGCCATTCCAATTTCTTCTCCGTAATATGTTACGGCAACACCAGGCAAGATCATTGGTAGCATAATCATTTGCAAAGACCTTCTTGGATAACGTGACGCGGTACGACTTCGATCGTGATTTCCCAACTAAAAATAATAAATTCTAATAATGAAATAAATGTTAACAACCATTAATAAAATCTAATTTATCAAAGACCGACGACTTACCACCCAATTAGCACTTCCAGTGCTTGGAGTTTGTGCCATCCACGCCTCGATGGTCCTCTTAAAATCTGATGCAGTCGAATTATGATTCACATCGGTGATCAGTTTGAAATTGAATGGTATGTGAGAGCCATACTGATAATATTTCGTAGTATTTTCTAAAGATGTGTAAGCTTCGGTCATCATCACCTAAAGAACACAAGAACAACGATGAACATATTGAAAAAAAATGTAATGGTTTCTCGTAAGAATCAATACCTTCTCATCCTCGTTATTGGAATCGGAATAATCATCAAGAATCTTTCTCCAGCTTTTTACAAGTTCATAGGTTCGTGGATCGTCTTTGGTGTAAATGTGGTCCAAATAAGTGTAATCACGATTGGTAGCACTTCGATCCGAACTTCTGGGTTCATCACGAAAAAGATCGCTCTCGAAGAGATGCGGAACGGCATCTATACGAAAACCATCTACGCCTTTACGTAACCAAAATCGCATAACGTCCTTCAATATACAAAATCACGAAACTCAAAAAATCCAATTGGAGATACATCTATTAATTCAATAATCACACTAACTTCCATTTCAGCTCGCACTACTGGATTACTGTAATTTAAGTCTGGTTGTCTGTACTCGAATTGATGGAAATACCATTCCTTCAACGTTGCATTGTACGTCCAGGCAGGACCACTGAACACACTGATCCAATTGTTCGGTGGTGTCACACCATCATCCTTTCGTCCCTTCCTCCAAATATAATAATCCTTATATTTCTTCTCCCCTGCGAGAAACTTTTGAAACCACTCGTGCTTATCGGATGTATGATTTGGTACGAGATCGAGAATTACCTGAGAAATAATAGCAAAATTGCGACCTAAGAAACTGCTATGAGACGGATTTGAGAAAGTTGGTCAAAACAATTAGAAACAGAAATCGCCGCACTTTCAATCCATGTCGTTTCGATTGTGCTACCAATGTCTCAAAATCCTCCATCGTACCAAACTCTGGATGTATGGCTTTGAAGTCTGATATGTCGTAACCAAAATCTATCATTGGACTCGCATAAATAGGTGAAAGCCATATTCCTCGAACTCCAGCGTCGACGAAATGTTCCAATTTCGATGAAATACCTTATTTGTTAAGAGCACAATAATAATACAAAAATCATATTATTTGAGATTTCAACGAGAAACCTGTAATTTTTCTTACCTTTTAGATCACCGACTCCATCATCATTCGAATCCATAAAACTTCGTGGATAGATTTGGTAGAATACTGCGTTTTTCCACCATCCTTTGTTTTTGATCTCACCATGGACGAGACCAGTAAAGAGTAATAAAGAAATAAAGCTAAACGCGCGGAACATTTTCTCGCCTGGTAGCGTTTGTCATGTAAAATCCGATGATGTTTCATATAAATATTAAAGACTAGACATTTATGATACGTTATCTCAATAAGTTTACTCTATCAATAAGATTACAATATTTTTTAATTGATACGTATTGCATTTTATCAAGAAAAGAATTGAAGTATATAATTATTTGAAGATGAAAGTTAAATTGTTCTATCAGATAATAAAATTTACTATTATATATGTGGATCAATGCTTATCTGAGTACTAGTAAATATCGCAAGAAAAGAACAATTTTAAAAAATCATCGATATTATCTGATATTTTATCTATCCTTGATTAAAAGAATCTTGATAATTTCCTTGAACATCACGTTGTAAAAATTTATCACTTTCCTATTATCTGTAATAATAGATTTAAATCAAAGTATCTGAATCATTTTATTTTTTAATACGTATTTATATAATTTAGCAAAATTTGTTTCAAATATATATGAAATGAATTTAATTATAAATATTTTAAACAGATCATCCTTGGAACAGAATAAATTGATTGTCGTGTACATAAAACAGCTGTTCTTGTTGGACGTATGATATACTACAATGGGTAAAATACGATTTATAATAATATATACGCTAAAATACGAACTCGATTATATGAAAATAAAACTAATTTCAGATCAAAAATACAGATATAGAAATTATGAACAATCGAAACTATATGGTATTTGCGATTGACTAGACTGACTTCTACTGTAGTACTCATAATTCGGGGTCGATGATATTCTACGAGGAAACAAGTAGAGCGTACACGTTATAATTAATAGTGAAAGGTAATCCAACGAACGAGCGAGTTATATGAACAAGTAACAGCCGTAGACATAATCACTGTATGTCTAGTAAAAATCTCTTACTGTAATCTTAAAGTAGTATGGCGTAAATAATCTACACAGGTTACTACAGGCTAATCTTGCATTTCGAATATATTTATAAAATATAATACTGCATAATAGTGGTGATGAAATCTTTCGATAATGGAAATCCTATTGGATAAATCCTATTGCAATTTGTCGATTATAATTGTCGAATATAATTGCTAGAGGATACGATCATTCCATGCCAAGGTGGAAGGTTTACATACATGGTAAGCGGTTTATATCTGAAAAAAAAGTATATGATTTGAAATTAATAAACTTTCATTTTCCACAAGTGTTAATGTTATGGAAAAAAAATTATTACCTATTCGAATGATATGCATCAACTTCGACATATGTATATTTATACAATGTCATATGTTCTTTCAAGTTTACTAGAAGGTTTATCACTCGAGAGAAACTCATAAAGAAAGTCACTGTCTCTCCATGAACTTCTCGGCTGACAGTTAAGAATTCACAGTTGTAACAATAATCCGTTTTGAGTTTCACCACCTTCATTTTCAATGATCCTTCCTGTAAAGCGGGCGAAGAATTGCGCAATTGAATCAAAGATCGATAAGCCTTATAAAGAGACTGTCCTTTGGAGTTTTTTTGTTTTTCCAAATTTAATACTTTATAATTTTCATGTACAGGAAGCCACGTTCGATTAGTTCCGCTGAATCCTATCGCCCAATAAGTTTAAAGTATCTTTTTATATGATAATTTAAGATAAAATCGAGAAACATTTAGTGATTATTAGCCTATTTACCGGCATTTGTACTATTGTCCCATTGTAAAGGTGTGCGATTCGGATCGCGAGATCGACTTCGATATTTATCCTTTCCGGCATTACAAGCTTGCGGATCTTGCGTATCCTCCCAAGATATATCACTCTTATCAACCATTCCAATTTCTTCTCCGTAATAAGTTACGGCAACACCAGGCAAGATCATTGGTAGCATCATCATTTGCAATTCCCTTTTTGGATAACGTGACGCAGTACGACTTCGATCGTGATTTCCCAACTGAAAATAATGAATTCTAATAATGAAATAATTATTAACAACCATTAATAAAATCTAATTTATCAAAGACCGACGACTTACCACCCAATTGGCACTTCCAGTGCTTGGAGTTTGTGCCATCCACGCCTCGATGGTCCTCTTAAAATCTGATGCAGTCGAATTATGATTCACATCGGTGATCAGTTTGAAATTGAATGGTATGTGAGAGCCATACTGGTAATATTTCGTAGTATTTTCTAGAGATGTGTAAGCTTCGGTCATCATCACCTAAAGAACACAAGAACAACGATGAACATATTGAAAAATATTGTAATGGTTTCTCGTAAGAATCGATACCTTCTCATCCTCGTTATTGGCATCGGAATAATCATCAAGAACCTTCCTCCAGCTTTTTACGAGTTCATAGGTTCGTGGATTGTCTTTGGTATAAATATGGTCTAAATAAGTGTAATCACGATTAGTAGCATTTGCATCGGAACTTCTGGGTTCATCACGAAAATGATCGCTCTCGAAGAGATGCGGAACAGCGTCTATTCGAAAACCATCTACGCCTTTACGTAGCCAAAATCGCATAACGTCCTTCAATATACAAAATCACGAAACTCAAAAAATCCAATTGGAGATGCATCTATTGATTCAATAATCTCACTAACTTCCATTTCAGCTCGCACTACTGGGTTACTGTAATTTAAGTCTGGTTGTCTGTACTCGAATTGATGGAAATACCATTCCTTCAACGTTGCATTGTACGTCCAGGCAGGACCACTGAATACACTGATCCAATTGTTCGGTGGTGTCACACCATCATCCTTTCGTCCCTTCCTCCAAATATAATAATCCTTATATTTCTTCTCCCCTGCGAGAAACTTTTGAAACCACTCGTGCTTGTCGGATGTATGATTTGGTACGAGATCGAGAATTACCTGAGAAATAATAGCAAAATTGCGACCTAAGAAACTGCTATGAGACGGATTTGAGAAAGTTGGTAAAAACAATTAGAAACAGAAATCGCCGCACTTTCAATCCATGTCGTTTCGATTGTGCCACCAATGTCTCAAAATCCTCCATCGTACCAAACTCTGGATGTATGGTTTTGAAGTCTGATATGTCGTAACCAAAATCTATCATTGGACTCGCATAAATAGGTGAAAGCCATATTCCTCGAACTCCAGCGTCGACGAAATGTTCCAATTTCGATGAAATACCTTATTTGTTAAGAGCACAATAATAATACAAAAATCATATTATTTGAGATTTCAACGAGAAACCTGTAATGTTTCTTACCTTTTAGATCACCGACTCCATCATCATTCGAATCCATAAAACTTCGTGGATAGATTTGATAGAATACTGCGTTTTTCCACCATCCTTTGTTTTTGATCTCACCATGGACGAGACCAATAAAGAGCAATAAGGAAATAAAGCTAAACGCGCGGAACATGTTCTCGTCCGTTCGTGTCTTTCATATAAAATCCAATGATATTTCATATAAATATTAAAGACTAGAAATTTCTGATACGTTATCTCATTAAGTTTACTCTGTCAATAAGATTTCAATATTTTTTAATTAATACGTGTTGCATTTTATCAAGAAAAGAATTGAAGTATATAATTATTTATTGATGAAAGTTACATTTTTCTATCAGATAATAAAATTTACTATTATATATGTGGATCAATGCTTATCTGAGTACTAGTAAATATTGCAAGAAAAGAACAATTTTAAAAAATCATCGATATTATCTCATATTTTATCTATCCTTGATTAAAAGAATCTTGATAATTTTCTTGAACATCACGTTATAAATGTTTATCACTTTCCTATTATCTGTAATGTTAGATTTAAATCAAAGTATCTGAATCATTTTTATTTTTAATATCCATTTATATAATTTGGCAAAATTTAATTCAAATATATATGGAATGAATTTAATCATAAATGTTTTAAACAGATCATCGTTGCTCGCAGTGTAACGATTGTCCTGTACTAAGATGTAGCTATTCTTATTAGACGAATAATAGACTACGATAGATAAAATACGATTTATAGTAATGTAAAAACTAAAGTATGAACTCAATTATTTAAAGACAAATAAAAATATAATTACTCTTAGAAAAAAATTTAGATGCGGAAACTATTAGGAATTGGTGCTAATGGAATATGGAGCGGTTGATAGACTGATTTCTACTAGAGAACTTACAAATCGGGGTGAGGGACACTACGAAAGGAACAAATAGTAGGGGCGTGTTACAATTAATAGTGGTATGTTGTCCTGAGAAAGATCTAGTTATATGAGCAAACAACAACAATTATTGATATATAATAATTGTTGCGTACAATAACTCCGACTCTAATCTCTATCTTTAACCTTGAGATGGAGTGGAGTGAATCACCACGCAGGTTCACTGCTGGCTTTGGATTTTGAATGTAGTTGTTATTAAATGAAGTATAATAGTGGATAATAGTGGTGATGGAAGCTTCCATTGTTGTAACAGTCCAATTATCCGTAAGTGTCTGAGTCTCCTCCAGTTAGCATAGACTTGAATTTTCTGTAAATGATATATCTGGTACAATGAATTTTAGAGTCTAGTCATCGTCAATCTGTAATACTCCGTAAATAGAAATCTCAATGTGATGAGTCCTAAATCGGTATATCGAAACTAATTGTAAATCATCTAACGTAAGTATTACCAGTCGAATGAATACATATTTCAATGCGTTTCGATAATCCTCTGTCTTTAATTTTAACGAAACATTAAAATACTCAAAAAAAATAGATTCATTTTTCCATTATAAAGTCAAAAGAATATTAGATAAAATTGCATATATAAGATTATTCTTATTTATTTAAAATCTTACATTACATTTCTAAATTTTACTACAATTTTTATATTATGAATCTAATTGCTAGATGATAACACAATTCCTTCCCAATGACCAATATATATAAATTCATAAAATGGTTTATACCTGCAAAGAGAAATATAAGATTAAAAATTAATATATGTTCATTTTCAACGAGTGACAATGGTCTAAAGTAAAAATTACTGTTTGTTTAATTACCTCTCTGTATGATGGTCATCAACTTCAACGTATATATTGTTGTAAATAGTCATGAGTTCCCTCAAGTTCACGCGAAGTTTTACCACTGGAGAAAAACTCATTACGAGAGCTACTATCTCTCCAGGAACTTCTCGACTCACAACTAATACTTCGCAATTGTAACAATAATCTGTATTGAGTTTCACCACCTTCAATTTCAATGCACCTTGCTGAAGAGCTACTGATGTTTTGCGCAATCGAATCAACGATTGATACATCTTATAAAGTGACTGTCGTGTCGTATTTTTTTGATTTTCCAAATTCAATTCTTTATAATTTTCATGAATCGGAAGCCACGTTCGATTACCGTTACTGAATCCTACAGACCCATAAATTTATAATATCTTTTCATATGTTATATTTAAAAAATACTGAAATTTTAAGTTTCGGCTGGTCTTCTTACCCGCATTTTTATTACCGTCCCATTGAAAAGGTGTGCGATATGGATCACGAGATCGACTTTGATATTTTTCCTTTCCGGCATTACAAGCTTGCGGATCCTGTGTGTCCTCCCACGATATGTCACTCTTATCAACCATTCCAATTTCTTCTCCGTAATAAGTAACGGCAACGCCAGGTAAGATCATTGGTAGCATAGCCATTTGAAATTCCCTTTTTGGATAACGTGACGCGGTACGACTTCGATCATGATTTCCCAACTGAAAGTAATGAATTCTAATAATGAAATAATTATTAACAACCATTAATAATAACTAATTTAACAAAGACCGATGACTTACCACCCAATTGGCACTTCCAGTGCTTGGAGTTTGTGCCATCCATGCCTCGATGATATTCTTAAAATCTGACGCAGTCGAATTATGATTCACATCGGTGATCAGTTTGAAATTAAATGGTATGTGAGAGCCGTAATGATAATATTTCGTAGTATTTTCTAGAGAAGTGTAAGCTTCGGTCATCACCACCTAAAGAACACAAGAACAACGATGAACATATTGAAAAAAATTGTAATGGTTTCTCGTAAGAATCAATACCTTCTCATCCTCGTTATTGGCATCGGAATAATCATCAATAACCTTTCTCCAACTTTTTACGAGTTCATAGGTTCGTGGATCGTCTTTGGTATAAATATGGTCTAAATAAGTATAATCACGATTGGTAGCACTTGAATCAGAACTTCTGGGTTCATCACGAAAATCTTCTCTTTCGAAGAGATGCGGAACGGCATCTATTCGAAAACCATCTATGCCTTTACGTAACCAAAATCGAATGACGTCCTGGAAAATATAGAATCATGAAATTCGATAAATTCAATTGAAGATGCATCTTTCAATTCATTAAATGTACTAACTTCCATTTCGGCTCGCACTACTGGATTACTGTAATTTAAGTCTGGTTGTCTGTACTCGAATTGATGGAAATACCATTCCTTCAACGTTGCATTGTACGTCCAGGCAGGACCACTGAACAGGCTTATCCAATTGTTCGGTGGTGTAACTCCATCATCCTTTCGTCCTTTTCTCCAAACATAATAATCTTTATATTTTTTCTCCCCAGCAAGGTACTTTTGGAACCACTCGTGCTTATCGGATGTGTGATTTGGTACGAGGTCAAGAATTACCTGCGAAATGTAATCAAAATAGCGATCATTAAACAAACCATGAGAAGGATTTGAATGAATCAATGAAAAATTTTAGAGACAAAGATCGTCTCACTTTTAATCCAAGTCGTTTCGATTTTTCCACCAGTGCTTCGAAATCCTCCATCGTACCAAAGTCTGGATGTATAGCTTTGAAATCTGATATATCGTAACCAAAATCAATCATTGGACTCGCATAAATAGGTGAAAGCCATATTCCTTGAACTCCAGCGTCGACGAAATGTTCCAATTTCGATGTAATACCTTTTTTGTTATCAGTGCATTAGTGTTACGCCGAATCCAAATTATTGGAGTTTCAACAACAAACTTGAAACAGGGCTCTTACCTTTTAGATCACCAACTCCATCGTCATTCGAATCCATAAAACTCCGTGGATAGATTTGATAGAATACGGCGTTCTTCCACCATCCTTTATTTTTAATCTCGCCGTAGACTATATTAGTTGCGAACAAGAAGAAACAAAAGCAAACTGCACGAAACATCGTTGCGACTACTATGCACTATCGCCTATAATACTTCATATAAGTATACTCTTGAAATGTAAAAATTTGTAATACGTTATCTCATTAAGTTTACACTATCAAAAAATGTGATTACTTTTTAATAGATGCAAGCTGTATTTTATCAAGATATAAAATTTTCCTTAAAATATATAACAACAAATACTTATAATAAGAATATTCATTCTTTTATATAAGAAAACTTATATAAAACTTATAAGCTTACTAGCTTTCTTTAATATTAGCGGAATTAGTAAGAAAGAAACAATTTTCAAAAATCTTCAGTTGTTTTATAGGAAAACTTATCGTTCTCTTATTAAAATAATCTTGATAATATTCGTCAACAACTCCTTATAGATACTTATCATTTTATTATTATCTGTATCATAAGAATTCAAAGTACCTCACATTATTTCTTTTCCACAAAACGTTTATGCTTGAATGCTGTCGAATTCGGGTAGAATATTTTGAACCATAAATGGTTCAAATAGTTTTTAAAGGTAACTTTACAACATTTGCTCTACATAAAAAATAGTGTAGATTTTTGCAAGAAAGATGACATTATAATGAGAAGCAAATCGATAATAAACTGTGTATTTTTATTTCTTAGTAATGGCATTGAAATGTAGATATAGGAGAGGAAAGTTTTTAAAAGTCATTAGTATTACCAAAAATAACAGAAAATTTTTATAATACAATAATATTAATCATGTTTATTACAATTATGTAAAACTAAGAATGTAATTGCATTAATTAGTTTACTTAGTTTTTAACAAAGTTTTTAACAAAGATTAAAGATAATATGATAAAATATTCTATATATAACCAATTCTACATATTTCTTCTATACCGAAGACTATTCTGAAGAATTTCTGTAGACAATGAACTTTAAATAGAAATAAACTGAAGATTTATTTTTATATTAAGAAAAAGAAACCTTGTACATTTATTTAATTTCAATTCTTTAATTTTATTCTTCTTTACGAGCAAAAGAAATAATATATATTGCAAAAGATTTTATCAATAAGGACCAAACAATAAAAATATTGATTCAATAATATATTAAAAAAATAGGACTTGGAATGTATTCATTATGTCAGAACAACGGATAAAAAATGTGTAAATAAAAATTATAAAAATTTCTTTAGAGATCAAATTCCTATCCTAAAAGTGTTACACTTAAATAGATAGATTTTCTTTTTAGTCTAGCTAAAAACAATATTAGGAATGACTGAGTCATTGGAATGATCCATATTTCTCCAAAATTATCGCACATATCTTCAAATCCTATTACTATTTGACAATATAAAATCTAATTACTAGACGATATGACATATCCAGCCCAAGGATTAATATATATAACGTTGGAATCAAATTTATATCTGAAAAAAAGATATATATAATTAGGAATTCATTCATTTTTATCCCCAACAAGTCCTAAGCGTCTAATGTAAAAAATATTGCTTAATTAATTACCTCTTCGTAAAATAGGCATCAACTTCAATGTATGTATTATTGTAAAGAGTCATGACATCTTTCAAATTTACGGGAAGTTGTATAGCTGTAGAAAAACTCATTAGGAGAGACACTGTCTCACCAGGTATTTCTCGATTGATAACTAATAATTCGCAGTTGTAACAATAATCCGTGTAGAATTTCAACACCTTTATTTTCAAATCACCTTGTTGAAGTGCGAGTGATGTGTTCCGCAATCGAATCAACGATCGATACATTTTATAAACCGACTGTTGTGAAGAATTAGTTTGATCTAACAAATTCAATACTTTATAATTTTCATGAACCGGAAGCCACGTTCGATTACCGTTGCTAAATCCTGTTGACCAATAAATTCGTTAAACCCCTATATGTAACATTTTTCTAAAATCAAGCCACTTTTAGTATTTATTTATGTACTCACCAGCATTTGGAACATAGCTCCATTGGAAAGGTGTGCGATTTGGATCACGAGATCGACTTCGATATTTATCCTTCCCAGCGTTACAAGCTTGCGGATCTTGTGTGTCTTCCCACGATATGTCACTTTTATCAACCATTCCAATTTCTTCTCCGTAATAAGTTACGGCAACACCAGGCAAAATCATTGGCAACATAGTCATTTGAAATTGCCTTTTTGGGTAACGTGAAGCGGTACGACTACGATCGTGATTTCCCAACTAAAAGAAATCATTTTATATTACAAAATAATTACTAACAACCATTAATGAACATTAATATAACGGAGATAGATAACTTACCACCCAATTAGCACTTCCATTCTTTGGAGTTTTAGCTATCCACGCTTCAATGATCCTCTTAAAATCGGATGCGCTCGAATTGTGATTAACATCGGTGATCAATTTGAAATTGAATGGTATGTGAGAACCGTACTGATAATATCTCGTAGTATTTTCTAGAGAAGTGTAAGCTTCGGTCATCATCACCTAAAGAACACAAGAACAGCGATTAACATATTGAGAGAAATTGTAACGATTTTTCGTAAGAATCAATACCTTCTCATCCTCGTTATTGGCATCGGAATAATCATCAAGAATCTTTCTCCAGCTTTTTACAAGTTCATAGGTTCGTGGATCGTCTTTGGTATAAATGTGGTCCAAATAAGTGTAATCACGATCGGTAGCATTTGGATCGGAACTTCTGGGTTCATCATGGAAATCTTCTCTTTCGAAGAGATGCGGAACGGCATCTATTCGAAAACCATCTATGCCTTTACGTAACCAAAATAGAATGACGTCCTGAAAAATATAAAATCATGAAATTCGACAAATTCAATTGAAGATGCATCTTCAATTTGAAAATTGCACTAACTTCCATCTCGGCTTGCACTACTGGATTACTATAATTTAAGTCTGGTTGTCTGTACTCGAATTGATGGAGATACCATTCCTTCAACGTTGCATTGTAGGTCCAAGCAGGACCACTGAACAGGCTTATCCAATTGTTCGGTGGAGTAACTCCATCATCCTTTCTTCCTTTCCTCCAAACATAATAATCTTTATATTTCTTCTCCCCTGCGAGAAACTTTTGGAACCACTCGTGCTTGTCGGATGTATGATTTGGTACGAGATCGAGAATTACCTGCGAAATGTAATCAAAGTAACGATCATTAAACAAACCATGAGACGGATTTGAAAGAATTTATGAAAAATTTTGGAGACAAAGATTGCCTCACTTTTAATCCAAGTCGTTTCGATTTTTCTACCAATGCTTCAAAATCCTCCATCGTACCAAACTCTGGATGTATGGCTTTGAAATCTGATATATCGTAACCAAAATCAACCATTGGACTCGCATAAATAGGTGAAAGCCATATTCCTCGAACTCCAGCGTCAACGAAATGCTCCAATTTCGATGTAATACCTTTTTTGTTAGGAGCACAACAATATTACAAAAATCATATTATTTAAGATTTCTACGAGAAACCTGTAATGTTTTTTACCTTTTAGATCGCCAACTCCATCGTCATTCGAATCCATAAAACTCCGTGGATAGATTTGATAGAATACGGCGTTCTTCCACCATCCTTTATTTTTGATCTCGCCATGGACGAGACCAGTAGCGAGTAAAAGGGAACAAAAGTAAACTGCACGAAACATTTTCGAATCTGTTGTTCCCAATGATATTCCGTATATATATATTCTTGAAATATAAAAATTTATGGTACGTTATCTCACTATGTTTGTACTAGCGATAAGAATTCATTAATTTCTTATTAATGCGTGTCGCAATTTATCAGGAAAAATATTGAAATAATATTTATTTCAAAAGAATGAATTCAATTTTTTTGTATTATATAAGAAAATCCACTATCGCTGATATAGGTTGATTCTTTTTTGAATCCTAGCGGAAATGGAAAGAAAGAAGCGATTTTGAAAAATTATTATTTGTTTCATCGAACATCTTATCTTTCCTTGATTAAATTAATCTTGATAATATTCCTTAACAACAAATTATAAATATCCATCGTTTTACTATTATCTATGATATGAGAATAAAATCAAAGTATTTGAATCATTTTATATTTAAATAACCGAAATTTGTGTGATCTGATTAGAATATTTTTAATCATAAACCATTTAAATATTACATGGTCGCATCAGAATAACCAAATTATTTTGTAGAATAAACATCCATATATTCTTGTTGAATGAATTATAAACTATGTTTGATAAAATAAGAATTATTAAAATGTAAAAAAGGAAGTATAAACTTAAAGTTTTAATTATAATACTGATATAGAGATTATCAGAATTTTACAGTTAATGAAATGAACACGAATGAAAAAGAGTAAATGAAAACTAAACTATAAATGTCAGTAAATCGTACGTTTCTATTGATAATAGTAGAATGGATTGATTGTGAATTTATTATAAAATTATAACATGTGTTTAATATGAAATAATTAAATCATTTAATAAATACATACTATACCGACGGTCGGTAACCCGGCGATCTACTATACCGACGGTCGGTAACCCGGCGATCTACTATACCGACGGTCGGTAACCCGGCGATCTACTATACCGACGGTCGGTAACCCGGCGATCTACTATACCGACGGTCGGTAACCCGGCGATCTACTATACCGACGGTCGGTAACCCGGCGATCTACTATACCGACGGTCGGTAACCCGGCGATCTACTATACCGACGGTCGGTAACCCGGCGATCTACTATACCGACGGTCGGTAACCCGGCGATCTACTATACCGACGGTCGGTAACCCGGCGATCTACTATACCGACGGTCGGTAACCCGGCGATCTACTATACCGACGGTCGGTAACCCGGCGATCTACTATACCGACGGTCGGTAACCCGGCGATCTACTATACCGACGGTCGGTAACCCGGCGATCTACTATACCGACGGTCGGTAACCCGGCGATCTACTATACCGACGGTCGGTAACCCGGCGATCTACTATACCGACGGTCGGTAACCCGGCGATCTACTATACCGACGGTCGGTAACCCGGCGATCTACTATACCGACGGTCGGTAACCCGGCGATCTACTATACCGACGGTCGGTAACCCGGCGATCTACTATACCGACGGTCGGTAACCCGGCGATCTACTATACCGACGGTCGGTAACCCGGCGATCTACTATACCGACGGTCGGTAACCCGGCGATCTACTATACCGACGGTCGGTAACCCGGCGATCTACTATACCGACGGTCGGTAACCCGGCGATCTACTATACCGACGGTCGGTAACCCGGCGATCTACTATACCGACGGTCGGTAACCCGGCGATCTACTATACCGACGGTCGGTAACCCGGCGATCTACTATACCGACGGTCGGTAACCCGCGATCTACTATACCGACGGTCGGTAACCCGCGATCTACTATACCGACGGTCGGTAACCCGGCGATCTACTATACCGACGGTCGGTAACCCGCGATCTACTATACCGACGGTCGGTAACCCGCGATCTACTATACCGACGTCGGTAACCCGGCGATCTACTATACCGACGGTCGGTAACCCGCGATCTACTATACCGACGGTCGGTAACCGCGCGATCTACTATACCGACGGTCGGTAACCCGCGATCTACTATACCGACGGTCGGTAACCGCGCGATCTACTATACCGACGGTCGGTAACCCGCGATCTACTATACCGACGGTCGGTAACCGCGCGATCTACTATACCGACGGTCGGTAACCCGCGATCTACTATACCGACGGTCGGTAACCGCGCGATCTACTATACCGACGGTCGGTAACCCGCGATCTACTATACCGACGTCGGTAACCCGGCGATCTACTATACCGACGGTCGGTAACCCGCGATCTACTATACCGACGGTCGGTAACCCGGCGATCTACTATACCGACGGTCGGTAACCCGGCGATCTACTATACCGGTTTGGTTTTCGTTGCTTACCTTTCAGATCACTGTCTGTATAGTCATTGGAACCCATAAAATCCCTTGGATAGATTTGATATAATGTGACGTTCTTCCTGCATCCTTTGTTTTTTATCTGGCCATGATCGACACCAGTAGCAAGCAAAAGGGAACAAATCCAAATCGCTGGAAACATACTAGCGAATGCTATGTGCTATCGCTGATTATGCTTCATATAAATGTACTTTTATATTTAAAATGTTCTGATTCGTTGTCTCACTAAGATTGCGGAATTAATAAGAAATGATTATTGTTTAGGAGTTAAACATTGAATTTTATTATGAAGAAAATTCACATGATACTTTTTTAGAGCAGTATTTATTATAAGAGTGTTTATTTTGGCTTATGAGATATCCTACTTATGTAAATCTAGTAGCTTGTTATACTGGTGGATATGGTAAAGAAAGACATTATTTTAACCTTTAATTGTTTTATTAGTCTACTTATCTTTCTCTTTTTAAAAGAATCTTGGTAATATTACTCAACTTGTTTTAAATAATTACCTGCTAATTTACCTAATATTTTTACTATTATTAACATAAGGATTCAATCAAAGTATTTCATTTTATTCCTTTTACCAGAAAACGTTTCTTCATGAATATGGTCCAGTTTGTTTCGAATATTTTTAACCATCAATGGTATAAGGGTTCTGATTAACCAAAATTAAAAAAAAAATAGATTTCTTCTTTTTTTGCACTTTTATTAACTTTAAGGTTTTTCGAACAATTTAAATTATATGCGATATTAAAATTCGAAAAATTGATGGAGTTATAGATGTTTCTATGTCGAACAGTCGGGCAGCTGTGAGTGCTAAGTCACGCAGTTCGACCTATATATACTCTGTGCGCATACCTATTCTATTGTGCTTTTTTGTATAAGTACAAAATTATAAATTTAGTCACCATTTTTTCTGTAATCAGTATAATTGTAAAGTGTAAGGCATGCAATGGTGACATGAAGATTATGGAATCTAGCATATGTGGACTCAATTTTACATTAATGATTTCGTGTAACTCGTGCTACAATTCTAGTCCTTTCATAAAAAATAAAGCGTATGACAAATGAATTATTTTAGCATTCCGATTTTTAAGAATTCGTTTCGAGGAATAGAAAAATTTTGTGGAATCATGGATTTATCAAAAGCGATGTACTAATCGTTTTACGATACCGTCATCGAACACATTAATATTTCTGCCAAGGATATACTTATATATAAAAAAGAAAAGAACTTTGTGAATTTATTTCATTCAATTATTCAATTTTATTCATTTTTACAAACGAAGGTAATAATAAATACATAAAGAGATTTTATTAAGAAGAAACAAAAAAAAAAGAAAATTATACATTCAATAATATATTTAAAATCGTACATATCTCCAAATTCTACTGCTATTTGTCGATATTAAATCTAATTACTAGACGACAAGACAATGCCTTCCCAAGGATTAACATATATAACGTTGGAATATAATTTATATCTGGAAATAGAAATATATGAATTGAAATTAATTAATTTTCATTCTCAACGAATGCCAATGGTATAGAATAAAAATCGTTGCTCTTTTAATTACCTCTTCAAAGCAAAGGAATCAGCTTCAACATATATATTGTCGTAAAGAGTCATGATATCCCTCAAATCAACGCGAATTTGTATGGCTGGAGAAAAACTCATTACGAGAGACATTATCTCTCCAGGTACTTCTCGAGTGATAACTAACAATTCGCAGTTGTAACAATAATCAGTATGGAATTTCACTACCTTCATTTTCAAATCACCTTCTTGAAGTGCGAGTGATGTGTTCCGCAATCGAATCAACGATCGATACATTTTATAAACCGACTGTTGTGAAGAATTAGTTTGATCTAACAAATTCAATACTTTATAATTTTCATGAACCGGAAGCCACGTTCGATTACCGTTGCTAAATCCTGTTGACCAATAAATTCGTTAAACCCCTATATGTAACATTTTTCTAAAATCAAGCCACTTTTAGTATTTATTTATGTACTCACCAGCATTTGGAACATAGCTCCATTGGAAAGGTGTGCGATTTGGATCACGAGATCGACTTCGATATTTATCCTTCCCAGCGTTACAAGCTTGCGGATCTTGTGTGTCTTCCCACGATATGTCACTTTTATCAACCATTCCAATTTCTTCTCCGTAATAAGTTACGGCAACACCAGGCAAAATCATTGGCAACATAGTCATTTGAAATTCCCTTTTTGGGTAACGTGAAGCGGTACGACTACGATCGTGATTTCCCAACTAAAAGAAATCATTTTATATTACAAAATAATTACTAACAACCATTAATGAACATTAATATAACGGAAATAGATAACTTACCACCCAATTAGCACTTCCGTTCTTTGGAGTTTTAGCCATCCATGCCTCAATGATCCTCTTAAAATCGGATGCGCTCGAATTGTGATTAACATCAGTAATCAATTTGAAATTGAATGGTATGTGAGCACCATACTGATAATATCTCGTAGTATTTTCTAGAGAAGTGTAAGCTTCGGTCATCATCACCTAAAGAACACAAGAACAACGATTAACATATTGAAAAAAATTGTAATGGTTTCTCGTAAGAATCAATACCTTCTCATCTTCGTTATTAGCATCGGAATAATCATCAAGAACCTTTCTCCAGGTTTTTACGAGTTCATATGTTCGTGGATCGTCTTTGGTATAAATATGGTCCAAATAAGTGTAATCACGATCGGTAGCATTTGGATCGGAACTTCTGGGTTCATCACGGAGATCTTCGCTTTCAAAGAGATGAGGAACGGCATCTATTCGAAAACCATCTATGCCTTTACGTAACCAAAATCGAATGACGTCCTGAAAAATATAAAATCATGAAATTGGACAAATTCAATTGAAGATGCATCTTTCAATTCAATAATTGCACTAACTTCCATCTCGGCTTGCACTTCTTTATTACTGTAATTTAAGTCAGGTTGTCTGTATTCGAATTGATGGAAATACCATTCTTTCAACGTTGCATTGTACGTCCAAGCAGGACCACTGAACACACTTATCCAATTGTTAGGTGGTGTAACTCCATCGTCCTTTCTTCCTTTTCTCCAAATATAATAATCCTTATATTTCTTCTCCCCAGCAAGGTACTTTTGGAACCACTCGTGCTTATCGGATGTATGATTTGGTACGAGATCAAGAATTACCTGCGAAATGTAATCAAAATAGCGATCATTAAACAAACCATGAGACGGATTTGAAAGAATCTATGAAAAATTTTGGAGACAAAGATCGCCTCACTTTTAATCCAAGTCGTTTCGATTTTTCCACCAATGCTTCGAAATCCTCCATCGTACCAAATTCTGGATGTATGGCTTTGAAATCTGATATGTCGTAACCAAAATCTATCATTGGACTCGCATAAATAGGTGAAAGCCATATTCCTTGAACTCCAGCGTCAACGAAATGTTCCAGTTTCGATGTAATACCTTTTTTACCGGCTCATTAGTATTACGCAAGTGAAATTATTAAAGATTTCGACAACAAACTTGAAACACGGCTCTTACCTTTTAGATCTCCAACTCCATCGTCATTGGAATCCATAAAACTCCGTGGATAAATTTGATAGAATACGGCATTCTTCCACCATCCTTTGTTTTTGATCTCGCCATGGACGAGACCAGTAGCGAGTAAAAGAGAACAAAAGCAAACTACGCGAAACATTTTCGAATCTGTTGTTGCCAATGATATTCCGTATATATATATTCCTGAAATATAAAAATTTATGGTACGTTATCTTACTATGTTTGCACTATCGATAAGACTCCATTAATTTCTTATTAATGCGCGCTGCAATTTATCAGGAAAAATATTGGAATAATATTTATTTCAAAAAAATTCCATTTTTTTTTATTATATAAGAAAATCCACTATCACTGATATAGATTGATACTTTTTTGAATCCTAGCGGAAATGGAAAGAAAGAAACGATTTTGAAAAATTATTATTTGTTTCATCGAACATCTTATCTTTCCTTGATTAAATAAATCTTGATAATATTCCTTAACAACAAATTATAAATATCCATCGTTTTACTATTATCTATGATATGAGAATAAAATCAAAGTATTTGAATCATTTTATATTTAAATAACCGAAATTTGTGTGATCTGATTAGAATATTTTTAATCATAAACCATTTAAATATTACATGGTTGCTTCAGAATAACCAAATTATTTTGTAGAATAAACATCCATATATTCTTGTTGAATGAATGATATACTATGGTTGATATAATAAGAATTATTAAAATGTAAAAAAGAAAGTTTTAATTATAATACTTTTAGTATTAAAGATAAATAAAGATATAACTGATTACAGAAAAAGATCCTGATATAGAGATTATCAGAATGTTACAGTTAATGAAATGAATACAAATAAATGAGTGTAAATGAAAACTAAACTATAAATGTCAGCAAATAGTACATTTCTATTGATATTAGTTGAATGGGTTTACTATGAGCTTATTATATACTTATAATGAAATAATTAATTTAATTATTTCATATTAAACACATGTTACGAACTACGTATAAGCGAATATTGTTTAAATATTAGTTTATTATACTCCCTATATAATAAAGATATCTCAAATTATTAAAAAATTATTAAAATTATAATTTATTATAGTTTGATCGTAAAATTATTATACACATCCGCTTGCTGTTGTCTGTTCGTATAACGCGATTTTTCACCTGACAACTTACCAGCAGAAAGACTGCTTATTTCAGTGCTATCCCAAAACCTCATCTATCGATTTTTAACGAAACATTAAAGTATTTTTATTTTTTTATTGCTAAAACATTGCAGAAAACATTTATCCCAATGCGCAGTTTTATCTTATATTTAAATCAACCGATTGAGTAACAAAGCAATGATACCATTACACAATGACAAGCATTGACTCCAATATTGCATTGCACGAGATTAATAATTGAGGATGCGTAAAATAAAAATATTTAATTGAAATCCTCTGTCGTTTAAAAATAGATATGATTGCGATAGGGATATGTTTACAGAAATATACTAATTGCGGGAATACTTATAAATCAAAATTGATATATATATATATATATTTTTTTTTTAAGTTATGATATTAAAATTATTTTATGATAGTAATAAAATATATATTGAAATTTTATTCTTCTCTTTTTTAATTACAGAAAATTTATTTAACATTTTCTATTGCTATCTATGCTTTTTAATATTCGCTAAATTAACAAAACGTAGATAATACAAAAGTCCATATTTTTTCCATATCTGTCACTGAACACACATATGCTTCAAGAGAAAAGTAATGAACCATCTTAAATAGATAGATTCTTTTTTCGGTTATATAATCAAAAAAGAATATTACATAAAATTCCATCATTGAAATTTAATAATATTTATGCTCTTCCATTACAGTTCCAAATCCTATTGCAATTTGTCGATTCCGAATCTAATTGCTAGATGATACAACCACTCCATGCCAAGGTGGAAGGATTATATACATGTAAGAGTTACGTATGTAAGGCTTATTTCTGCAAATAAGAATATATGATATGAAATTATTACATTTTGAATTTCCACAAGTATCAATTCCTTAAAGAAACAATGGTTACCTCCTAGTATGAAATACATCGACTTCGACAAACGTATTTTTGTAAACTGTCATGTGTTCATCCAAATTTACCGCAAGAGCTACTGGAGAGAAACTCATAAACAAAGTCACTGTCTCTACAAGAGCTTCTCGGCTGATAATTAATATTTCGCAATTTTTATGATCACCTGCGTTAAGTTCCACCACCTTTATTTTCAACACTCCTTCCTTTAATGCACGCGATGTTTTGCGCAATCGAGTCAACGATCGATATGCCTTATAAAGTGACTGTATTGTCGTATTTTTTTGATTTTCCAAATTCAATACTTTATAATTTTCATGAACCGGAAGCCACGTTCGATTACCGTTACTGAATCCTATTGACCAATAAATTCGTTAAATTGTTATATGTGATATTTTTATAAAAATCAAGAAACATTTTGTTAAATTGTCTATTCACCGGCATTTTTACTACTGTCCCATTGGAAAGGTGTGCGATTCGGATCGCGAGATTGACTTCGATATTTATCCTTTCCGGCGTTACAAGCTTGTGGATCCTGTGTGTCCTCCCATGATATGTCACTCTTATCAACCATTCCAATTTCTTCTCCGTAATAAGTAACGGCAACACCAGGCAAGATCATTGGTAGCATCATCATTTGCAATTCCCTTTTTGGATAACGTGACGCGGTACGACTTCGATCGTGATTTCCCAACTGAAAATAATAAATTCTAATAATGAAATAATTATTAACAACCATTAATAGTAACTAATTTCTCAAAGACCGACAACTTACCACCCAATTGGCACTTCCAGTGCTTGGAGTTTGTGCCATCCATGCCTCAATGATCCTCTTAAAATCGGATGCGCTCGAATTGTTATTAACATCGGTGATCAATTTGAAATTGAATGGTATGTCAGAGCCGTACTGATAATATTTCGTAGTATTTTCTAGAGAAGTGTAAGCTTCAGTCATCATCACCTAAAGAACACAGGAACAGCGATTAACATATTGAAAGAAATTGTAATGGTTTCTCGTAAGAATCAATACCTTCTCATCCTCGTTATTGGCATCGGAATAATCATCAAGAACCTTTCTCCAACTTTTTACGAGTTCATATGTTCGTGGATCGTCTTTAGTATAAATGTGGTTCAAATAAGTGTAATCACGTTTGGTAGCGCTTCGATCGAAACTTCTGGGTTCATCACGGAGATCCTGTCTTTCGAAAAGATGAGGAACGGCATCTATTCGAAAACCATCTATGCCTTTACGTAACCAAAATCGAATGACTTCCTGGAAAATTTAGAATCATGAAATTCGATAAATTCAATTGAAGATGCATCTTTCAATTCGATAATTGCACTAACTTCCATTTCGGCTCGCACTACTGGATTATTATAATTTAAATCTGGCTGTCTGTACTCGAATTGATGGAAATACCATTCCTTCAACGTTGCATTATACGTCCAGGCAGGACCACTGAACACACTGATCCAATTGTTCGGTGGTGTCACACCATCATCCTTTTGTCCTTTTCTCCAAATATAATAATCCTTATATTTCTTCTCCCCAGCAAGGTACTTTTGGAACCACTCGTGCTTATCGGATGTATGATTTGGTACGAGATCAAGAATTACCTGCGAAATGTAATCAAAATAGCGATCATTAAACAAACCATGAGACGGATTTGAAAGAATCTATGAAAAATTTTGGAGACAAAGATCGCCTCACTTTTAATCCAAGTCGTTTCGATTTTTCCACCAATGCTTCGAAATCCTCCATCGTACCAAATTCTGGATGTATGGCTTTGAAATCTGATATGTCGTAACCAAAATCTATCATTGGACTCGCATAAATAGGTGAAAGCCATATTCCTTGAACTCCAGCGTCAACGAAATGTTCCAGTTTCGATGTAATACCTTTTTTACCGGCTCGTTAGTATTACGCAAGTGAAATTATTAAAGATTTCGACAACAAACTTGAAACACGGCTCTTACCTTTTAGATCTCCAACTCCATCGTCATTAGAATCCATAAAACTCCGTGGATAAATTTGATAGAATACGGCATTCTTCCACCATCCTTTGTTTTTGATCTCGCCATGGACGAGACCAGTAGCGAGCAAAAGAGAACAAAAGCAAACTACGCGAAACATTTTCGCGTCTACTATGTACTGTCCCCTATGATGTTTCATATATATATACCCCTGAAATGTAAAAATTTGTGGTACGTTATCTTATTATATTTGCCTTAGCGATAAGAGTCCATTAGTTTCTTATTAATGTGTGCTACGAAAAAAAGAAAAATTGGAATAATATTTATTTTAAAAAAATGAATTAAATTTTTTTTTATTATATATGAAAATCTACTATTGCATATATAGATTGATACATAGCTAGCGGAAATGGCAATAAGGATAATTGTTCAATTATCCTTACAATTGTTCTTTCGAACAACTTTTGTTTCTCTGATTAAAAGAATCTTGATAATACTCCTTAACAATATGTTGAAAATACTTATCATTTTAATATTATCTCTAGCATGAAAATTAAATTGAAGTATCCTTCTTTAATTATTTTTCTATAGTTTTTTATACGCGAAATTAGTACAAATCGATCGAAATATTTGTTATCATGAACGATTTAAATAAATTGTCGTTGCTTCAAAGTAACTTTTCGTACCTTGAATAATGCAAATAACTATACACATGTAGATATAATACATATTTGCAATAAAGATAACACTAAAGTGGGAATCCAATTGGTAACTAATCGAGTATTTTTATTTCTCTGTAGAATTATAGAGAATACAGGGCTAATTATACACGATTTTTGGATAATATATTATTTTCTTTCGACGTATTTTTGATTAATCACATCACATCAAACAGATACGGTGCTGAAATAAAAGATTATGTACATCTTTCGTTTCGGATTGTACCGAAGAAATTAAATACAGAAAAAATGTAGATATATCAATTTCAATGCTCGATACATGTGCCGAAACAAGCCATCCTGGCGACGTCGATAACAAACGTCATTTACTAAAGTCAATTTGCGGTGGTCAAATATTAGCAAAATGATTACCCAAGTGATATACGTTATTCCTATATTTTACGTAAATGTGCTTATTTTAAAATTTAACATTATTGGTCGAGTATTATTTTATTTGAAGCTTTTCTATAACCGCGATATCATTCGGTGAAGATGGAATATCTTTCAATTTTCTTTTTTTCTTTCTTTTTTAACTTTAACCAACAATTTTATCGATTTTTTGGATTACAATAGTAATATTAATAGTAGTAGTAGTAATAATAATAGTAATAATAATAATTATAATAATAATAATAATTATAATAATAATAATACTAATAATAATAATAATAATAATATTAATAATAATAATAATAATTATAATAATAATAATAAATTCTTATGTTATCGTAACTCGAATGAAGCGTAATAATTTGTACGTATGCGGAGAAACGCGCTAATATATGTATAATTCATTTGTTATCTCAATTTTTGGTCAAGATTTTGCATCGCTTAGGAAAAGGCCTGTATCGTCGTCGATGGAAAGACTATTCGCTTCTCGCGATTAAATATATCGGATCGCGCGTATAAGAATGAGGAGAGCGTCGAATTGTGGTAAGTTGAAAATTCTATATCTACGATAATTCCATCGTGCCATTACGAAAAAACTTCAAGGATAATAACATTAAAGATTATAAATTTGCGTTCACTCTTGGCTGTTACAATCGTGCGATCCGATACTATTCTCTTTTTTTACAAACCTACTTCCAATATAGGTACATATCTTATTTCTATCACGCTTTTTGGCCCCTCATCCGCCTCTGGGAGGATACTTAATTCGTATTTCTTACTTGTTGCTCCTCGGAAGATTTAATTTGTAAACATTTCTTGTTTCTTTTTTTATGTATTTTTATGTATTTTTATTTTCACATTTGACTTTACCTCGTCAAATGTATTTTGCCGTTTCGACTAGATACTTTTGCAATTTTTACTCTCCTTTCTTTTTTTTTCTTTTTTTTTTCTTTTTTCTTTTCTTTTCCCTTTGTTAATAATAAACTAGTACATAATTCTATACGCACCGGGCACACACGTAATATAATAAAATCATTGTGAGAGAGAGAGAGCATATCGCTTTCGCTTGGGTTTAATCAATGAAAATGAAAAACCGACGAAAGAATGGAGCAGGATGGTGAGGAGTGTAAGCGATCGATCGTACGAGATTTAATATGCAACATTAATTTATAAAAAAAAACACACACACACAAATAGCCGGCGATTAAAAATAAATAAAATATCGCACTAATGGCTCTATTTACAGAACGTTTCTACCATCCTCGTACGCTCCTTGTTTCAATAGAGAAAAACACAACGTTTGTATACGTACATCGTAAATTTCTCACCTTTGCACCTTCCTACTTGTAAAAACGTCGAATGAAACTAACTAACGATCGAATGGGGAAAAATAGCAACAAAAATAAAGGACGGATATATTTTAACGTGTTTCAACTACGAAGTGCTATACTCGTACAGAAGACACACATACACTCGACGTTATTGAAAATTACTACTAACATCACTTTCGAGTCTTCTCTTTCCTTTTGACTTTTTAATTTTAAATTTGCTAGGTACTGAGCGTGTAAGTGCACTACGACGACAGGTACGTAAAAAGATACGTTTGTTCGTAGCTTGGTCCTCCTTTTTCTCCCTCTCTTCCTCAAAAATATTCGATAGAACAACATTGTCTACGTCTATATACAGTGAATACTCGCAAAAGATCGCAATCAGAGATTATTTTATGACGATCGTTACCGCAAAAAAATAATAGCGGTTACGTGAGCTCGCATTGCATAATTACATTGCTACCAGTTGCCAAACAAACACGACACTACGTAACTTTGTTTTTCTTCTAAGGAATCCCGGACAAGTGATCAAGCTTGCGCTCTAATGCAACGTCGTGAACACGTTCGCAAATCCAACACATATATTTGACATATACATATAGCACAAACGTTTAAATAAACACTAACGACACTAATTTCTCTTTTACATTAAATATACATCGATTAAAGCTGTACCTCGACGTGTTCACGAATAGATATACATACGTGTACATATCTAACGTGAGTATATACAGAGATATATATTTGTGTATGTCAATAATTATCATACTTTCGAGATTCTACTCGTTGAAGGCTTTGCACGGAAAATCGCAAGAGCCCCGAACGTTCGATCGTCGAGAGAGAAAGAGAGAGAGAGAGAGAGAGAGAGAGAGAGAGAGAGAGGGAGAGAGAGAGAAAAAGAAAAAAAATAATACAAGTACTTTCCTTTCGCAAGATTCTCCGTAAAATCCGTTAAATCCGTTTCTCGTTCGAGCTTTCCGAGGGACGGATTTTCCTTCTTACGCGTCTATTTCCACCTTTTAACGAAAAAATTTTTTCAAAGGGAATAATTCGGCTTGTGCGATAATCGAAAAAGCAAATCTATAAACATTTCTTGGGAACAATCTCATAAATATCTTTTCGTTCAATTACTCAATACTTTTCGTACGTACATTCGACTAGACTTTTTGTAACTTTTTTCGCGGAATAATGTGAAAGTATAAAAATAAGTTAATGTGCGTCTCGTCAGGCATATATTTACAAGGATCCTGAATAATGTCGATTAATATGAATATCGTTCGTGCTTACTACGAAAGAAAAAAGAGACGATAATATACTGTCGAGACAAAAAAAAACTCATATAGATATTTCGAATTCGATGAGTTTAATCTTTTGATTTAATTTTTTTTTTCCTCATTATCCGTCTCTCCTCTATCCGCTTATTTTCTAATTTATGTACCAACTTGAAATGAAGTTATTAATCGATGCGTTTGGATTGCGTTTTGCCAGTTCTGTTATATAGAATTCGTTGAAAGTGGGACATTATCCGTGACATTAGAATCTGTTAAAAATGCATTATGCATTTTTACATACTAGTTATATAAAAAAAAGATAGATACGAATAGAAATAGCGTTCATAATGCAGAAATAGTTTGCAAAACTCATTGATAATAGATTGATAATGCTTAATCGATTCTTTCCTCTCTTTTTGTTTATGAAAAATATGTCTTTCATCTATTCGTTTTAGGCTACGCTCTATATCGTATTATGACTTTAACATGATGCTAAGTAAAAGTACGAAAGATTTTGGACAAAAAAAAAGACAAAAAGGAAAAAAACGGAAAAAGAAAGTAGACGGCTACTTGGACGAAGAACTACCACGGAAAAAGAAAATCGAATTCTTTATCTACTTTTTGATAAAAATGTTTCCTTGAAATTATGTATATATATATATATATATATATATATATATATATATAATATAATATAATATATATATATATATGATGTGGAAGTATTTAAGAAGATAGTCGTTGCACGAAAATGAGTCTAAATATATAACGGATAATCGTCCCAAAACAAACGCATCGTAAATACCATAGATAATTTTATATCTACGTTCGCATTCACAGTAAATTCCTTATTAAATATAATATATGAGGGAAAAAGTTTAAGATAATAAAATGAGTTCGGAAATAAAGACGAGTTTCTTGTAGCCTAAAATCGCATAGATATTCGAAGTAAGTTTCGATCGTCGATCTGACGACACTTCATTCTTCCGCCGTCGTTTGAACATTCTCCCCTTCCTTTTCCGCATTGGAATTTTGTTCCGCTTCTTTTTGTGCTCTAAGCTCTGCATCTGTAGAATGTACAAACGATGAAGGTATTTACATTTAAAAAAAAAAAAAAAAACAAGATAAAAGATCGATTCCACTTCGAAAAATATTGACAAAAATTGTTTCGCACAAAGTTATATTTTCGAAGAAATCGATTGTTAATATTGATCGAGTAAATATGCACTCACTAACTCAACGATCGTTGAACATATTATTTCTCTTTTACAAATAATCGATAACGGTATATAAAGGCTAAAAAAGATTTATAAAGTTACTTATAAAAAAAATACAATAATCTGTTAATCACTCAATTGATATTTACACTCGATTTTATTGTAAACAAAGTCTCGTGTATGAACATTTTATTTTATAATATCGATTAATTTTCCTATGAAAAATTTCTCTTCACGATTGTGTCATAATTATTTGGTCACTCAATATCCATAATTTATTTCCATATAACATACCTCGAACCGCTTGTTCCTTCCAGATTTGTTTGTTTTCTACGAGACACTGTATCCATGGCTTCCCTATTTTAAACCTGTTACTCTCTGTTGTCGAACCTACGAACAATGAATCGATGAACGTTGGAAAATATGTATATATTTTGGATAATGGCAATTATTGAAATTATCGAAACGTTTACCGTTAGCTGACTCATCTACACTTTCTTTAACGTTCAACGGTCCAAGAACCGTCTCCAACATATCGCTGCAAACTTGCATACTCGGCTCAACAATAAATTCTATAAAACCAATTTGAGATTCCGCTACCAAAGTATTATTACGATCGCATAAAGGTGAAAATGGCAAGCCAAGATCTCTCTCTTTGTCGCCTTGCCTGAAAAATTCTTCCAACAGTTGCATCGTCCACCTGTATAAAGGAATTGACTCGCGTCACATAAAGAACGAAATTATTGCAATCGTCGAAGGTTCCTAATGCAATATCGTCCAACCGATAAAAAGAGACGATCTGATAAAATGGTCTAACCTATGGTGGAGATCCCATCTTTTCGCAGGATGAGAAATATCGCAGCAATGGAGCACTAGACTGACGGCTTTGCTCTTATCGACGCTCGGTTCTGCCAAGCTTAGTAGATTTTTCATATTTTTTAACTGTTGAAAATGAAAGCTCATATCGGTTGCCAAGACCATGTCGATCACGAGTGAACGAAATTCTCGAAATTCTTCTCGCGACAAATTTTGAAGAATATTACATTCGTCTTCCCTTAATATTCTGAAAAAAAATACACCATGCGCATTTATAAAATTGCCTCTTATGTAGAGAAGTGTTGTATGAAATTAATTCTGTATACCTGAAACTCGCTGATATATGGTGATTTTCTAACACAGCGCGGTCATTATAGAGAAGTGCCGTATCACTGCCTGACATTACGTGGAAATTGTTTGTGGTCCCAGTGTGCTCGTAGTCGTGAATAATCGCCGCTACGAGTGACGAGAATATTTCTAGATCGGTCAGCCAATTCTGGAAAGAGTAATTTCTCTTTTAACTTTAAAATAATTAAATTTTCAATGATACAATTTTCAAACGGTTCACCATTTCGTATGTATCTTCCTTATACATCGTTTTATTTTATACAAAGATCATGTATTAGTATTTTAATAAAATGAAAGTATCCAACAGTGAACGCATTAAATATCATTTAAAAATATAATTTTTAAATTCGAAACTTACCATTAACCCCGTTTGGCACAAAATATAATGCATAGTTTGAGCTACGTCCGCAGCGTGAAGATTATTGTGATATGGATTTCGATGTCTGCAATATCCTTCTTCAATTCTTCCTAGGAAGCATTCCAGAACCGCAGGTGGCACTTTAAACTTGTGTAACATACCGTACCGATTCAGTAGGTCGTAGCCTATGTATTTAACAGGAGCTCCGAGTGCAGCTTCGTTCAATGAAAACACGTCGAAAGACCAGTCGTCCAACGTCTTAAATTAAGATTCATTAAAATTCAAAGAAAAGTTCGTTGGTAAAACCGTTGTTTTATGAAATCACAAGACTACGTCTAATTAAAATTACGCAAATCCAAAAGTCGGCAAGCAATTACTATGACACTAATAAGATTTCTTCGAATTGCATTCAATTAACATTTATCAAGTACATTCCCGTTCTAGAAGAATGTAGAAATATAATTTATAGATATGTAGGTATATACAATCTTAATAAGAAATAAAGTAAAAAGTACCTTAAGTACTTTAACCACATCTGGTGGAAATTGCATGAGAGCGGTATTGGTGACTCTCCTATAAATCCGATCAACGAAAATCCCAGCTCTAATAGCGTGGGCCACAGATCGAAATTTGGGTTTCTCATCCGCCTTCCGCCTTGTTGTGGCAAGTTGTCTGGTGAAGGTCGACGCCAACCATTCTCGAACTTCGGGTGGTACCGCGTCCGGTTGTACTTCGGACAATTCATCATCTTCATCGGCCAATCGTCTAAATAAAACCATAGGGAAAAAATGTTAACAACTGATTTGACGAGTATCGAAATAATGACGCTTTAAAAATTCTACCTTGGTTTAACACTAAAAAGAAAAAAGAAAAAAAAGAGAAAAACTGAGTCGCTTTCTCAATATCCATTTAGTGAACTTCGATATTTAAAAGTTATCGAACCCGATCGCAGTTCGAATTTGACGCGTTGAAAAAGATTCCTTGCAAAAATATTGGTATTCTTTCAAAACGATTATTCTTTCGAAAATAGTTCAACGAAACACATCTTCCCTGAGAATATATATTTTCAACCTCAAACGAAGAAAATTACACGAATTATGAATCGATATGAATTCGCGTCTGGCGACATCGTTTGGCGATGTTCGTTTGTGTATGTGTGTGAGTGTGTATATATATATACATATATATTAATAAATTCAAGCAGCCAAAGGAGAATAATAGTGTTGCGCGTTAAATGAATTATCGAGTATCGAAAATCTCTACCATTTTATTTCTCAAAATAATTTTGTATCTTACGAAATGCATTTTCGTTTTCTATTCACCGACTAAATCGTAAAGCTCGAATACGTATTTTACATCAATAATAGAGATAACGTGAGTCTAAAAGCGACATAGAACTCTGATTCAATTTCATGAATGGACACATTATATTATTAAAGAGAAATGTACGAATAAAAAGTTAACACACTATTCTATGTAAAGAACAAACGAATCTGAAATATGATTTCTTTTCAAACCCTTTTTGCTATCGACAAAATAATTTTAAGGACCGTCGACCTACTTTCATTTAAGATTGAAACTATTACGAATATCCTAAAAACACTTTGATATTCACAGCGACGATCTGTGTATAATATACACAGTATGTAACTATACAAGGAATGCAGGCAACCAATTAAATTACAACTACGGCTAAAGTTACTTACGACGTAGGTACGTAATAATTAACTGTAATTATTCAAAATATATATACTGATATGTTTTATACAAGTTTGAGTAATAACAAATATCTTATACACGTACGTACATCTCGAAAAGTGGAGCTGAAATAAATCTATTTTAACAATAAGCTATTATCTGTTAGAAAGCATTATGAAGAAAATATAAAACTTCATGCAAAATAAAAACTCGAGTGCTATCGTGATAGGAAATAGTAGTTATAATAATTATAATAATTAAGAGATAACGGTGAACGATTGTGAGAGGTTGTTTGAATTCAAACTTTTGCACAAACCTACGGCGTACACCTTGTCGGCAAGTAGCAGTTGATTCCGTATGGTCGGCATCTCTACAATGTAAAACATCAAAGAAAAGACATGTAACATTGAGGGTTTGTACATCGATCTACCCGTTGTTAAAAACAAACGTCCCCGTCTATGCGAGGTGTGACTAGAAAATTCACGAAAATTCACGATCCCAAAACGAAACCAGCATCTTCCTATTTTTTCATTGAGAAACTTTCGAGTCACCCCTGCGATTTCCGTGTTGCGGGAAACGTTTGATCGCGCGTTCCTTCTCAATTCGTTATACTTAAACGCATAACGAATATATAATAACTTTTAAAAACGCCCTATGTGTATACATGCACTCTCTCGAACTTAGGAAAAGACAGATATAGAGTTGATTACAATGATGATGCAACTTGTAGCAGGCAGGTATCCGGAAACTGCAAAGAGATTATACCTAAAAAAAAACTATAAAGGAGCTAAAAGATAAAAAAAGGAAAATAAGAGAGAGAAAGATAAATAGAGTATGAAAGAATACAAGGCATTCAGGCAGCTTGGAATCACATTTTCATGCTATGTTTAAAGTGTTACATAATTCCTGTATTCTTGCAAATTTTCAAATATTCTTGTAAATCTTCAAAAATACGTTCTTCAAGATTTTTTATTGCGCGTGTTTTCAATTTTCCTCTAGATAAAACCTATCTCTACGTATAAACATGTTTTATCCGAAAGTGACAATTTTTTTTAAATCAGACCTTGTTCTTTTATCGATAGTTCTATCCAAAAACGATAATCTATTTTTTTCTGTTCCTTTTTGCTTAGACATATTTACATATTTAACATAATTACAATGTTTAAGACATAATTACATGCTTATTAGACATAATTACAATATTTAATAGAAAGATAGAAATGTGTGACAATTATTTTTTTCAAGTGTCCTAACGATATACGAATGTTCGTGAAACTATTGATAGAGTTTTATCTTTCTTGCTAAAACAAAAAAAAAATGTCGCACGATTTATCCATCGATCACAGCCCCTCTCCCCTATCCCCAACCATTGGTAGGAAAGCTCTAAATCGACTATTTAGTATAGAATCTATATTCCTTAGAGATACATAAGAAAAAAATGAAGGTTTGAGGTAAGATAGAGTTTTTCGTATTTATCATCCCGCGTCATAAGACAGTACTGATGTTATAGATCGGAGGGAAGAGCGATGACGTCGATACGTAAAAATTTATTTATAGCAAAAGCACAATCCTTTTATCTCGGAGAATCGATTGAAAGACGTTTCAAATATACATAGTCGGGTAGATACGTGAAGCGTCGATCGCTCGACCCTTATAGGGATGGTCATTGGCAGCGTTCGAGCATACAATGCATGGTCAAGAACACTGTGTGATATCTGCATGTTACGTGAACCCACTACGAACATCGGCGAAGGAGTGACAGGCATCAGGGGTTGAAGGGTTTCTTTGAAAGTGAGGAGATGATTTGTGTGTCGGGGTAGGAAATGTGAATGTTTCGCAACCTTTCCCACACAGGGGTGCGAAGCTTCCTTTTCTGGGTTACCACCGCGTGGCTCTGTGGTCCATCCGGGTCCATGCTGCCCCCCAGGGATGTAGAAGTCAGGCCCGCACCCCTACGTGATGACCGAGAGCACTCATTCCCGCCTGAACTCACCCTGCGGTAGTGCTCGTTAGTTCATCATATATAGAAAAGAATAAAATAGTCATAGATTATACTTTTTCTTTCTTTTTCCTATCTGCCCCTTCTTTTTTCTTTTCTTTTTTTCTTTTTTTTTTTTTTGTTGTTGTTGTTATTCGCTTTACTATCCTCTCTTTTTCTTTTCTTTTTTTTTCTTTTTTATCGTCGTTTGCCCTTTTTTTTGTCTTTTTTTTTTTTACTGCATTATCATCTCCTCAGAAATTCCAAAACCATTCTAAAATAACGATTGCCAATTTTTCCTGCTGCTTGGCGCACGTAAAAGAAAAAAGAATGAACAAGGAGATGAAAATTTGGGTTGCTCTTTGATGCAGCAACAACAGCAAAGTTCACCATCGTCGAAGTTAACCTGGAAAATGCTTTTACGGGAAATCGAAAGAACTTAAGAGCCATAGGAATACAGCGTTGATGGAACCTTTTCGTTAGAAGTGTTCAAGATTTCACCAATATCCTATAATATGCCGTTCATATATTCTTTTCCAAATAAGAAAGAGAGAGAGAAAGAAAGAGAGAAAGAGAGAGAGAGAGAGAGAGAGAGAGAGAGAATAAGACTTAATGTATCAAATTATAAAATATCAAAAAATATAATGTCGAAGGAAACATTAAACTACTTGTTTCGTTTCCAATAGGCATAGGGTAACAGAGAATAATCCGAATGTACCATCGAAAATTAATGTCGCTTTACTTCTAACCAATTTAAGTTCATTTCCTCGGGACAATGGGATCTGCTTCTAATCGGGTATAATACGCCTAAGTCTACTTGGGAAAAAAAACTACAATTCTCAAAGTTAATGTTACATGCTTTTGAGTGAACAAAAATCGCACACGTAAATGTATACGTCGCATCGGATACACAGGAAAAGCGTTAATAAAAATTATTAGCCGAACGCGAAGAATTTTAAAAGGAACTTATTCGTCATTATTTTTTCATTATAATCCATCGATATTTATTCGATTTAATAAAATAATAAGAAAAGAATAAAATTGAAACAATAATTAAAATCGATGAATAATCTCTTTAAATTAACGTAAAAGAAGAATAAGTAGAAAAAAGTGAGCGAAAAAGGAAATTTCGCTTTGCCTCCTGTGAGGATTGAACTCACGACCCCTGGTTTACGAGACCAGTGCTCTACCACTGAGCTAAAGAGGCGCTCTTGTAAACTCTTTCTGACGATTAGTAGATGTACATAAAAAGTGTGAAAAAATATTTAAATTTTCATGTTTCATTAATAATTCATCTTATTTGAAAGAAGTTTAATTTTTAATATTACGCGATCGATCATCCTTTAACGGTCTATGGGATCATGAGTTACATCCAAGAGGAAACTTCGCGAAAGAAAGTAATGTCTTCCCTTTGTTCAAATATTAGAGAGACGGAATCCTACCCTCAATTTTGCAGATTAATACTTTACGTTCGCACGCACGAGAAAAAGGATCGATAGACGATGAATAAATCGAAGTGAGCACACGTTAGACTTTGTTACACCAACTATAATCGTTTATCGTGATTTACCATGTTAACATTATTGTTAAAGTACAATTATTTTTAAAGCTCTTAAAAATAATTAAGAATATTAATTATAATTTGTGTCTTTCTCTGAAAAAAAAAAATTGTACGTCCTAATGGAGAGAAAAGATAGTGTTAAAAAAAAAAAAAAAAAAAGAAGAAAAAAAAGTAAAAGAAAATTAGTGTAACACTCTCGTGCGTCTCCAAACTTATTTCAAACATATTTCCAAAGAGAGACACATAAGACGATATACGTAAGAACGTCATTTTATAATTTATTAAGCAAGATAAAATATTTTTATCCAATTAAAATGTAACTTACTTTGTCTCGTCGATGAAGACTGTTTCAAGTACACGCGCCGCATAATGTAAATTTCGTTGGAGCAATTCGGCGGATATTTCGCCATGTTGTAGCTGCTTTAACAGACATCGAAGTCTGAAAAAACAAAAGATCAAATAAATATTAACTGCATCTCGTGAGAAAGTTTTAAAAAGATAATCTTCAATGCAATAAAATCGTTCATGTCTATTCGATCCTACCTGAGAGCAGCTTTGTCGCAGGCGTCGGGGGTGTCAACGGCGGGTAGTGAATCTGTCGTGAGATCAACATTATCGAGAATCTCGTCGAGATCCACGGACTGACTCGACAAAAACCTGTCAGGATTATGTGATGGCGGGGAACTCTCGAAACTGCCACCACCGACGCTTTTGCTTTTGCCCGAACTGCGTCGTACTATCGTCAGCGTGCCTTGCTCTGAAATTAAGCGACGATATCGTTCGATAACAGAGCTTTTCCGTACTCTTCTATGAAACGTGAATTAACACATACTCGTATCTACATATATGTATATATATATATATATACCTACATATTTTTTAACGATCTCCTTCGAATACAATATTCTATTAATTCTAATAAGATCTAATAAGATCTCTAAATGTAAATTTATATTAATAGTATATTATAACTTGGAATAATAGTGTGATTTTTACCGATTTAGAAATTAAATTTATATAATTATATGATTATATATTAACTTATATTAAATACTATCGGAAAAGGTCACTTTACTTGTCGATCTTTAATTTCAAGGATAACTAATATTTACTTTCAGCATTAAATATAAAACTATTCTAAGAAAAATATCGACTTTGACGTAAAGAAAATCGATTTATAACGCGTCCATTTATCTACGCAAAGAAACGAGTAATCCGCGTCCGAGATAGAAACATAAATCGTAAGTGGAATCTCGTGGTAATATCATGGAAACTTACTCGATAGCTGACCATTTCGACCAGGGGAGGAAGGATTGTGCGGGCGAGGTGGGGTTGTACCACTTGAACAGCCGGTAGCCGTGTTCGCAGCTGTATCATGCGAGGCCACCCCCATATCGTCTCTCGTGACCCTTCTATCCGGCGGAGATGCGACTGCAATATCGAAAAAAAATTTTAACTTATATCAAAATTACACTCGATTATATTTTATACTTTCTTTTATATTTCGTTCTATGGAAAAATATTCGAACACTTTTTGAAATGGAATAATTTTTTTTGTTTTCCTAAACCAGCAAGCGTAATTTGACCTAGGATTGATTGATTTCCTAAATATTTACAGAAAAGTAAATATAAAAAACGGCTGATCTACAAAATGAATATATTCCTATTGATTATAAATGTTTCAAGGAATTCTACAAAAAAGACATTTTTTTTTAATTCTATGTATATTTTATATAGCACAATAATTTTTTCATATCTATGCAAAAATTCAGAACACTTTACTTTGTCTACAAAATGTTATTCAATATCAAAAATGTACGTTTCTCTGACTATCTTTATACATTTTTTAACAAACTGTTCATATTCCTTTTTTATATTTTTTGGTTATTCAATGTTATTTTCCATTAGTTTTTTCTTTTTATAAATTTTCTAACAAATACATCACGATTTATTGTGTACCGAAACATTTATTCTCCATAGTTTTTTCGAATAATTGTGACAATTTTTTTAACCATGCCAATAAAAATGATATACCTTTTCTCCTCATTCATTTCATCATATTCTATGATTGATGATTGAAACTAATATTGACATATCTCTTACTACACATATTTACTTGATATTTACAGTAATATGGATATATTAACGTAATTACATAATAACAATGCGTAAAGGGAATCAAGAAGTATCATTTATTAATAGCTCATAGTGATAAAATAGTTATTTTGTACAAATCTATATAATGTATATTAGAAAGTTCTGTTATATTATTTAATTATATTTCGACTATTCTTTTTTATATTATTATACTTTCGACGATATTTCTGTCATTAAATTTAATTATATATGTTATAATTAAAATTTGTTAAAATATCGTCGATAGAGTGATAAAATATAAATCAATTCAAATGCAAGTTAATGGACGAATAATTTTATATGTGATAGTAAGAAAATTGTGTCGCCATTATTACTATTAGAATCAATTATTAAATCTTCGAACAATTTCCAGATATATTAGTTTAAAATTCTAAAACAAATATATAAAGAACAATTAAGCTATATTTCTTAAAGTTATATTTTGCATATTTGTTCTTCTATGTTGATGTCTCAGATATTACATATACATATATATAATCAATTGTTGGATCAAATGTAAGCGGCAGAACCAATGGGTCATTCGACTGCAGTGGAAGCACCGCATGATAGCTATCGATTTGTATGCTCCGTCGATAGGCTTTATACTATGTAAGTATAATATATCGATAAAATTCAGAATGAGAATTTGCATCTATTATTTTAATCACGTTATACTATAAACATAAAAAATGAGAAGTATTCAAATTAACGTATGTTAATATAAATATTATAGAAAACACCCATAGTAAGCATTTGAGTTTTCCACTTCGTTCGCAACATTTATAACCTTTAGTTAGTTTTATTAACAATTATTACTAATATATATGTATATATATATATATTAAAAAATATTAATACAAATTAAAATATATAATTAAAATATTTATCAACAAATAATTCAACATAATTTATATGATACAGTTTTTACGTTTTTAGGTGCTTTATTTTTTATTAAAAAATATATAATAGCAAGTTAAGAGGTATAAAAAGATATATAAAAATATAAATCTAAAATCGAGATATTAAGAATACTACAAAATAAAGCTATTTGATAAAAGTGAGGAAGTAACAAAGAATATCGACCGTGATTGAAAACATTAATCTTCTGAAAGAGGCGTAACGTACTCGTAAAATCTTAAGATTGAAATAATCTATTATTCTAGAGGAAAGAAGTAACTTTAGTTCTATAGTAAAAAAAATTATAAGGCATTCATTCATTACGTGTAATCTATGTGTAATGCTTAAATATTCTGTAATCTTGAAAAGACAAATAGTCACATTTACTGGTTAGTTCCAACTAACTTCATAAATGAATTCATTTATTTTCTCGAATATTTTCCAATGAAATAAAAATAAGAATTTGTTTGCAACAACGATAATAATATCTCGATTTATGTGTTAAGTATTTTATGATTTTCTTCCTTTCTTTATCTTCTTTTATTAAAAAAATAAGAGAAAGTAAAAAAAAAATCGATCATTTATACATATAATATCTTTCAATTATGTGAAATACTATCTCGTTTACTCTTCCCTATATTTAATTGTATTTATTTTTTACATTAAAGTAATGATACAAACAGGCAGATATTTATAAATGTAAACGTTTGATTGGAATCAATTCATAGGAATTAAAGCACGATACGGGTTAAACGTTTAATGACAAATAGAATAAATTCCTATTAAAGTGACATTGAAAATATCGATTAGTAAATTACACATTTTAAAGACGATGCTTTTACGCAACAGTCTAATTGCATTTTTATGCGACGTTAAAATCGATGGATCATTAATTAAATTCTTATCGCATGCAAGGTTGTTGGATCAATATAAAATTATATAATCTTCGCATCATTTATTACCTTACGAGGCAACGTCTTATAATATTAATTACTGAAAATTTGTTATATAATATTCAAATATGGTAATACGATCGGTTGCACTTTGAAATAATATATGCAATTGTTAAAAGTATATTAATAGTACCATGCATTTAATCTTGAAAATTTATGTTCCGTTTTTTTTCAGTCATAATTTAGTTATCCTTGAATGATAAAACATTGATAAAAACGTTGAATAAATCTAAAGACGTTTTTGTCGCGAATGTATGAAACTGGATATTCTGCAATTTTCGACTACATTTTATAGAAAATTATACGGTTGCTGATAATATATAGTCAATGTACTCTTACCAGTTTTTACATAAAATAATATAATTCTCAAAATGAAGAATATAACGTGTTTACGTATTCAACGACGAAACGAAAATAATCCTAACGTGTTAACAAAATAATAACAGTCTAAATGTTCAGCTAACTCTGAAAATTCATTTGTTCAAATAATTATTTTATAGATACATCTGTTACAACGACTTTAAAATTTACGTATTTATATGCATAAAAAATAGATAATTTTTAAATGCGCATGGTAGGAAGTTTGATTGAAAAACATCGATAAATTAAGATTGAATTACACAAGTATTGACGTTAAGTTAAATATTTATTAACAAATCTCGAACATGAAAACGTTAAAGAAAAAGGAAAAACAGTAAAGATAAAAATATGAAAATATATTTTAGTAATGAAATAGAAACGAATTTTTATTTACAAATTAGATTTTCATTTATCATATAAATTCAATTATATATACATACAAATTTGATCTCTTATAAGATCCATTGGTTAAGTTAATTTCAAATGTTTAAAGTAGGACGATAGTATACAGTTCGTCATCAAGATAGAAAATTTGTCGGATACAAGCGTAGCAATAAAATCAGAATATTATTCAATTTTCAGAGGAAAAAGTTAGACAAATTTTCGAAGGGGCTTATTCGTGAGAGTAAATATGTACTCATGTGCGTTGAAGCTGTTAACTTGAATAACTGGAGGTACTATGGAAAAGTTTAAAAAAAAAAACTAGCATTTTCGTTTAACGATCGACGAGATTTCTTGCCTGTATGGAAAAAGAAAAAAGAAAAAAAAGGAAGTACGAGCAGATCGCGGGATTTGAATCGACTTCTTTTCATTGGATATCTCGAGTTGTGACATCAACGTCGGAAATAAAAAGAAAAAAAAAAAAAAAAGAAAAAGAGAGAGAGAGAGAAAAGGCAGTAGCTAGCCATAGCTCTTGAAATGATCGTTCTTACGAGTACAAGCTTCGAGCGATGATGACGATAACCAGAGACGAGCTATTCGCATTTTCTCACGAGCCTCGAGTTCAGAGAGATTTCTTTGATTACATTACCCCGCACAAGCATTACTGCTGCGAACAAGACCTTCGTCTTACTTGCAATGTCACGCAAAATACATAAATATACGTACATATACACGTACATGTATTTACGTATTCTCGACTTAATTTTCACGGAACTATGTAATATATCTACATATATGGAGACGAGTGACGCGATCGACGATTTCACGATGCGTGAATTGAATTATTCATAAGAAAAATACTGAAAATAAAATGAAAATGTGCTTTGGCATGGATTACGAAAAAAATATTGAATTGTCGATGTTGTTACCGATCGTTTTATTCTCCGATCGTTACTAAAAATTATTATGCAGTATGTATTCTAGCTGAGAAAATTAAGGTGACAATAAAAATGATCTCGAAATATTGTACTTTATATTTTCTCCTTGATTCGTAAAAACGTGACTATCAAAGCTTACTGTGCCTCCTTTTCTCTTTCGATCGTCAGCACGTACCTAGTATATATCGTTCGTACACGTATAAAGCATCTATGAAAGTGTTACGAGAAAGGACCTCGGGATAAAGGAAGCAACGCCGAAAAGTGAAGGACGGAGACTCAAACGAGTCTTTCTTCTTCTAATTAATGGCTCCACTGAGCATACCTTCTACTGAATTTTACATTACCAAATTTCCTATGCGATAAAACGACGATCTTATAATACACATACAAAATATCTTATATTATATTCCTTTTAATTAATTATCAAATAAAAATTATGTACTTTTTATTAGTCGCTCATTGTCTCTAAAATCGATGCGATAATTATGGAAAGGATGTATAAAAGTAAAATAAAAACGAACTATCGATTCTTCTCTAAAAATAATCATCAAAATTGTGAAAACGCATTTATCAATCCTATTATGTTAATCCAATAAAAACAAAGCTTTATAAAATTATCGATGATTAAACCATAGTCGATAGATAAAATAATGCCGTAACAAAACATATTATGAATTATAGCATTTCATTGTTGTAGATACATTATTGATCGTATCAAATTTTGAAATAATTTTATCTGTTAAGTAAAATCGAAACTTAGTTCATT